TCTGGTGGCTTTTGTTGCCTATCAAGCTATCAGCAGCAACAGCAGCAGTAGCAAGTGTGTCTCCACCAGAGCAATTGGGGCAACACGAAGCGGTGAGCCATGAGATGGAGGGGCTGCAATGGCGCAATTCCCCCGTTTCGGAGCTATCCACACCTTTTTTCTTTCTTTTTCCTTCTTTGCGCCCGCTCTGGAGCCGTGACCGGACTGGCGGTAAAGAATCTCGGTCACAGACACAAAGTGAAACTCCGTCTGTCACTGTCACGCCGTCACGTAATCAGTAATGAAGTTTAGATAGCAGCGGTCAGACACTTGTGCCGTGCCCAGACAAAAGAGCATGTCCGAAGTATTGCTTTGGTCGTTCGGCTTCATGTGAATTAAAGATGATTATCTAGGCAACACTAAATACATGCTACTACAGGGTCATGACAGGGTCCGCGTCAGCCTTTCAATAGTAACAGCAAGCCTTGAAGATAGAACAGAGGGGGCCGGGTCGCCAAATCGGGAAACCTCCATACATATCAGTATGCGGATAGCTTCAAATCCTGCTGCATGACAGTATGTACGGAGTCTTCTGGAGCCTCTCCCTCTCTCTCTCTATCACCCAGGAGACAAACCGAACCAATCCACACGGCCCCAACAAGAACAACAGTCCTTAGCAACTGCGCTACTAGCCGCGACATGCGAAACTCACTATCCAGTTCACGCAGATGGATGATCCCTGTCAGCCGCGTTACTCCTCGCGTGGCGGTCAGGGATCATCCCGTCGGAACGCAAGACAAGGCTGCGTCTAGGCTACTGCTGGGGGTCCTTTACTTGCTCTACTGGCGATATTCTTGGTGACATTCCTCCGGCCTACAAAGAAATGTACCAACTTAGCACACCTATATTTGCCGATGTTGTAGCCTCCTGCACGGCGCCAATCGTACTATTTACCACGCCATCCATCCTTGGCTTCCCGTCCATGCGTCCCTTCGCAATAATCGACCAACATTAGTGAGGCGAAATAATCCAGAAGAGTCAGTCGCATTTGGCATGTGGCTTGCGACCGAGTCAGACATCCCTAAGGGCTAGAACCTCAGCTATCGGTGCGCCTCATTCAGCCACATATCAACTTTGTTTTTCTTATCCTTTCCAAATTATACTTTTTGACCTTTTTGCATGGCGTCGTTATGGACCTGTCTAGGTTCATGGTATGTGTCTATCATAATTTCAGTCTGATCTAAGGGGTGGTTGGTGAATAAACCATCGTCCGTGCTATTCGAAATTAACTTTGGGTCATTCATTATATCCGTCTCTAACCTTGCCATGTATCTACTGTAGATGGGTTATTTTCCAATCGTCCCAGCCAAGCAAACAAACCAGGCAACCTGCCTAACCCGGTCGGATTTTTAATTTCTAATTCCTACTGGCATTTCTTCAGCAATCTGCCACAACCCCTTGGCGCCATATTGGCTTGACAGCTGAAACATACCAGTCGGTCTTCGTATATCTCTCTTGGCATTGGCACAAGATGTTCATCAAAGTATACTTGGATGGAAGTAACTACACTAGGATCTATACAGGCAATACCCCGATGATAGCCGAAGTCAGCACACGGCAGTTGGACGATTAACCTACCTGCCTAGCTCCAGACTTCTATCCTATCTATCAAGTTATCAACAGCCACACGATACTCAGACAAATACGAGCAACGCCTCCATCATTTCCATATCAGCTGATTCGCCGCTAAATTATTCAGCCTAAATCAGCAGGCGTGTGCTCAGTCCGCTTTTTTTTTTGATCCATCTTCATCCCGTTCTACTGCAGAATAGGTAGCAGCTACTAACTAGCTACGGAGTTTAGTTAGTGAGTGAGTTAATATGGATCTATCTAACCGTAGCTAGTACGTAAATTCTGCAAAGCACCTACCCTCCTACCTAATAGAGTGACCTGCAGACTAGTGGAGCGATAGCTATCTTTAATATAGGTTGTAGTTTAGATACTCCATAGCAGCAGAGCAGCTATCACTACTATATACAGTATGTAAATAGACAAATGAGTTGCTACTCATCACGCCCCATCACTACGAAGTTACTTAACTACATACTGAAGTACTCCGATTGTTTAGTTGACCGGAGAACCAGATATCCGGTCTACTACTATCCTATCCGGTCTATGGATCTACAATTACATAACAAACAAGTCCTCTCTTTCTCTCACTCTCTATTATTTACTCAATAAAACGAAACATAACACAGGTAACAAAACACATACCTCAACCAAATCCAAATCCATACCCTTATCAGCCACCAAAGAAAACCCCCCATCTACACGAACGAACAAGGAAAATGTTCCAGAATGTGACTCATACGTCATTCCCGAACATTCATACCCATACCTCGGCTGAAACCTCTACTCCATTACCTAGTTCTCCATCCTGAAATCAGCCGAACCAAGGTACGACCCTTTCTCAACCCTGATCCATACATAGAATTCCCCAATACCGAAACAACCCGGAAACACAAAAAAAGAGAGAGAAAAGAGAAAAGCGGTCAGAGAGTTCACGCGGTTCCAGCGTGGTGGAGTAAGTAAAGTCTTGGCAGCGGGTTTGAGGACAGAAAAAAAAAAATGGTGGGGTTATATTACAGTGTATTTATTTCGCTGATTCAGTTGATTTGTTGTATTTTTGTATGTTTCGGATTTCAAAGATGTGGAATATATGGAACCAACGGGAGAACAAAAAAAAAAAAAAAAAAAAAAAAAAAAGCCTCTTTTTTCTTCTTTTCCACTTACTGGTGGGTAGGCAGTATGTATCCATCCCACATGGAAGAAAAGAGTAAATGGTAGGTACTCCGTACACGGTTTTATTATGGAGTATTCTCGGGCGCGGGTGTACGCCACGTGGGTTTTTTGTGGTGATACACATCCATACTTTTCAAACTTCTAGAAATTTTTTTTTTTTCTTTTTTGTTTTCTCTTTTGGTTTCCACTCTTACGAGACGAGCGGAGAGGTCATATGACGAATATTTAGTTACAGTAGGTAGGTAACTACTAACTAGGTATGGAAGGGCGCAAGTGTCGTCATTATGGGGCATGGAAAATTTTTCCCTCATATGCGGTTTTGCTATTATTCTGTTGGTGGGTTTTCGGGTTTGGAGGTTAGGGTTAGACTCCGGTCTGTCTGTCTGTCTATCTACTTACAACAATCTATCTAATATCTATCTGCCTATTAGTCCGTTAGAAGTAGTACTATCTAGTGTTGTGTTTGTGCGCCGCTTAGGAGAAACTGCGTTAACTTTCTTTAGTGTAAGTTCAAGATAGTGTCTGGGCAATATGTAGGGGGCGGGATATTCCGCTGCCGTGGGTTTTAAAGTTCGCACTTAGAGTTTGCTTGATATGAGCATGTCTTAATTCTACGGAGTATCTAGTACTGTGATAGTCGAGCCTGGACACTTTGATGAACTGTATCTTCATGGCTGGAAGCCCCTGGAATTTTTCGACCTTGGTTTGTGGCTGAAGTTGAAAATAGTAGCAATTGGCGACAACCCCTGAACCAACATCAGGGTACTTCGTAAGTTGATGTCTATTGGATTACGGGAATGTCGGCTGAGAAAGAACTGTTTCAGCTGCTCCAACTGAGAGTGTGTTTGGGTAGGCAACCTTTCGGCTTCCGGCATTTGTGATCCTGTACAATCCTTCTCCAGGGGAAAAGGGTTGGGATGAACTATTTTAGGAGGATAGTTTATCTGGGGCAATGGAATAGGATAGGATGTGAATCCTGTCGGGCACAGGGAGACCCGCTACCTTGTACTACTATGCTGTTAGTATCGGCTGCGCCAGATATCTGGAACGATAGTAAGCACTTGGGGGAGTTTTCTAGAAGGAAGTTGTTGGAAGGGCTAAAATCCAGCAGGATTGCATGTCTAATCCAACTTACCATCACGGCGGGAGATGATATTAACTAACTTACGTAGCATGTACGCACTGTTCCTGCATCGTGCAGTAGTTCGGTGGCGAAAGAAGCCCAGCTGAAGCTTCTAGAGCGGTTACTAGTCTTGTATACTACTACAGTTTACCAGGATCGGATGACGCCGATGTCCATTCAGTTCACCAAGCTTTTTTTTATTATTTTATTTTCCTTTATTTTCGACAAATTTCCCCTTTATCTCCATTCGCAGCATATTACCTACCTGAGTAGTTGAGATGCTTTCGCCCCTACGTCGCAATTTTCGATCGGCTGGGGATCTACAAGTCCGCAAAAACTCAAAGACCCATCCGTCAACAACGTGTTCCTTCCCAAGCAAGTATATCCTCCCTTCCAGGACGGGAAGCGTATGTGGTTCGCAGGCCGTCCAATTTTTCCGACTGTTGGTCCTCCGATCTGCCGATCAATGGAAACCGTAGAAGGAATATGAGATCACAAGAAAATCATACGGTGTTCCCCGTTGGAGAAAGAGAAACTAGTGAGGCTGTATCCACGGTTGAGTTAATTGAGTTAATCTACTCCTGGGGCGCTATTGCTTGGTGGTTCTTTGTTTCGGGGCTGGTGGGACGCCGATAGATGCGCTAGAAGGATTCTGGAAGACTTCTGGAAAACGCTAGAAGGCGTCGGTCGGTTGGGGGTTGCTGGTCACCCCCACTCTTTACCATGTAAGACTTTTCCCTATCCTTTTTTCCCCTCTTGTGTGAGTTGTTGGGTGAGGCTAGGGATTCGTACCTATCTGAGGTAAGTTAGCGACGGATCACACGGTGTACATCGGGCTTTCCGGCATTTGTCTTGGGGGGCGTGGTTTGATTCACCGTATTTGTATGATGAATCCACAGGCCCCCGGATATGATGGAGGTGACGGGCTAAGGATTTACGGGAATACGGATTGGGTAAGCAGGGCGCTGGGGGCGGCCGGGCTCAAGGTTTACCGCTTAAGTGAGGAAGGGGGCGGAGATAAGTTAAACCGCATACATGTCACTTTTGTCTAGTTTTGTCTTGTCTTGGAACTTTGCTAAATTGTCTTCAGGCTATTCTATTCTTTTCCAAGCAGGGTCCCGGGGAAATTGTCCGACTCCGGCGTCCAGCTACTGAAGGGCGTGAATTGGGGCCCCTTTGCCAAGCAGCCATAGCGGCCGATATCGTCGCGCGAAATGTGCTTAGTCAGAAGCAAAACTCTCCGAGGGTCAACAGGCTCACTGCCTGAGTCGGTCAGTTCCAGGAGACGAGACGCACGTGGAGGATCTTCCGGGAGGCGGCCAATCGAACCTTGAGCGTTACATTGCGTATGGGAGGGAAACGGTATGGACTAGTCTCGTACAGATGATTACTTACGGCCTAAAGCGGCCAGGCCTCTTACCGAAAACTGAAAATAAGGTGAGAAAAAGGCCCCAAAAGGATGTCGGAGTCGGAGGCGGAAAGAGCCGGAGTCGGAGCCGGAGCGGGGGGCCCTGCTTCAGGCCAACTTCAGGCCATCTTCCTTCGGGCCAACCTAATGCGCTGCTACTGCTGTCAGCCTGCGCTGCGATTGGCTGACTCGTTGTTCTATCTCGTCCTGCTGCTGCTGCTCCTCATCACCATAGCCATCATCATCGTCGTCGCTCATGGTGTCTCCATTCCCATGCAGGACTACTTCCAGCGCTTCTTCTGCTGAAGAATTGAGACACGCCCGATATGAAATAGGCACACTATACATACCCCTGCCTGTCCTGCCTCAAAACGCAGTTTGGCCCACAATCGGCATGAGTATGTACTGTGTCTTTTGCCTTGGCCTCAACCACGCCTTCCTTTCTGCCGCTGCAGAAGCAAGGGGTTACCAGCATGCATGATAACTACACTGTTTCCTATTTGATGCTTTTCTGTGGCAGACGCTGATCCTTGCTCTCCACGCGAAAACTAAACCCAAGGCTTTTTTCCTTGTCATGGCCCCACCTGACCAGCTTCCAGGGGGGTTTCCCTTCAGCTGTTTCCATAAGCAAATCGTGAATTATGATGCTGATTGCTGACTGGGTGATATTGGGGAGATAGCCTGTTGTTCCCTCTTTCCACCATCCCGCAATCGGGTCTTCTATGCTGTGCAACCTGATCGAAAATGGCTCGGATCACCGTCCATCTGCTCACGCTGCCCTGCGAAGGGCCAGCCGGCTTGATTTCCCACGCGCACACACGCGAGAGACAGACCCGGTCTGCCCCGGATGCTGACTGGGTGCGGCGCGATGATGGAACCGGCGCGACAGGGATCTGTTCGGTTGTTTGCATCGTCGGTGCATGGGCCAATGATGCCCATCCCCGACCATTGGGCAAGCCCCAGCCGACGAAGTACGAGGCTGGCCGTTAGGTCAACTCTGAACAGTGTGTTTCTCCTGTCTACGGAGCTTACGGAATAGCTTGCTAGGATGTCTACATGTGTATGTGTTTAGCGACTGGAGGTCGCTGTTCGGTCCCCTTAGTGTCCGGTTAGCCCAAGCGTGGCTTGGCTTGGACCGGATCATCATCAGCAGCATCAGCAACATACTTTGGGGCGCGGAATATCCCGTCCAGATTACGGAAGCCCATCACTGACATCTTTCCCCGGGGCGCATTACATTAATCTATCTTCTGCCCAAAAGACTCATTAATCCCCAGACGAACACCTTATGACCGGCAAAACAGGCAGCCTCTCTTCCCGGCTAACCCCGCCGCCGATTCCACTTTGGTCCTGCGCCAGCTCAAGACGGTCATTTCATGCATTAGTGTGCAAGAGACGTGGCCCCGATTCGTCTTAGTTCCCCGGTCGACAGGCGATGGAGATGAGCCAGGATCGCACCAGGATTCGGTTCAGAACCACGCAGTTGCATCGCCCATACGTACATAATCAATAACGGTGCATTTTCGCCCCCATTATTAAGTCTATAGCGTGGTTATATCACTGTCATTTATGCGTGGGCATATACCAGCTATGTGATATGAACGGGGTGCAAGTGCGGAGTATCGGTCTAGTCCTCCCTCCAAAAGGATTACTGTGTCCCATATCACCACTCATACCCAGAGTGACCAAAGGAACCTAATCTCAACCGAGAATTGCCTCTGTCACGCTGATCGACCAGACTACCGCCCATTATTGGCCGGAGTTACGTTCGAACTAGTCCGGCAGCCTCCCTTGCTCACGGCCTGGCGTGGCTAGGGTTGCACAAGGCTGGTCGAGACCACTGGGGAGGGATGATGGCTCATTTCAGCCCAGGCTGCTGGCCAATCTTTGGTCATCGATGGGCATGGTGCTTGAATCCCCCCCCTCAGCGTGTCCATGTACCTTGCCTGCCATGAGGAGACGGTGCAGCAGCAGCAGTAGCATCATTCCGGACGCGGGCTGGTTACCCTGCTTTGCCATGAGGTGGTACGTACTAGGCAGTTTGAGCTAAGGCAGCTCTGCCGATTCCCCTCTTTTTCTGCCACACAGCCTTCAGCCCCGTCTGACACCATCGCGACAATCATCATAACCGTCCGTCATCGCGATCTCACCTACACAGACCACCACAACCCACATACACATCATCTCCATCCCGTCCAACTACCTTTCCCTCCCCCACAATTGACCCTAGCAGTAGGTACATACCTAGACAGCGACTAGGTATGCAGCGGTAGGTCCAGAGCAGCACTCAGCCCCATCTCATATGTGTATCCTTGGCTACCTCACCACTTAAGTTGGTCAACCTAAGCATGACCCCTATAGACCATCTATCACATCGCAACCCCTCCTAACGGTATCACCCAACCCACCTCACCAATTAGTAGTTACCCCATTAGCACGAATCACATCTCCCATCACCGTTTAGACTGCAGAGTCTACACTAGTCACTACGCATGTTAGCAAAGTCAAGAATGTCAGGCACATCCATTCATCCACACAGCACTTCTAGTCATCGAGTCATTTACCGTAAACGGTCGATCACTTTTATTATTTATCCATCCACGCGACCGATCATTCTGCGAATTAAAAACGTATCTCATACAGCCAACCTACTGTATTAATCGGCGATCTTATTATTTACTATTATCGACTACTTGCCTAAATAGTACCTATTTTCCATTGCATAACCATATGCACATAATCAGACCATTGATGTGGATTCCATGGTAATGACTTATTGACTTACAATGGTCACTACTATGCAGATAATGAGGCTGCTAGCGACTGGACATGGCACTCGCGATGGTGGACTACTACGGAGTAGGAGTAACTGAAATAAACATTCTTAACTGTACTCTATACTATCACATACACGCAGATATTTCCTATCTTACCCAATGATCACGATTCTATATAGTGTAAAAGTCACGCTACAATACAGCACTTTAGTGATCATTCATTCAGTTCATAATACTAATTAGTATCAATGATTGAGCTACAGCCCTCATGCAATATATATCCTAATAATATCTTTTCGAGAACAAAAGAAAGAGAGTTTCATACTGATTTCCGTCATTTCCGTCACTTCCGACCAGCTCAGCCACAAGTCGTCTTTCATTCTACAGTACTATGATGTATGGATGTTCTGACAATATTATCCCCGGCCAATTGACCGTATACTTAGCACTATAGCGATATGCTGTCAGACTTACCTTTTAACTTCATCATCCGATACTATTCGAATATGTATAGATTTCCGTACCTGTTGATTACTATATAATTCATCATACATACACTCATCCCACAACAAAACACAACCCATTTCAGACAACTACTACATACATAGTGGGAAATCTCATCCCACGCAACATCTGATACTAAGTAATGAGGGGTAAATTCCAAACCCACTGATTATCATCACTACTGCAACTACTGCAACTACTACTTATTTAGCCAAACATCACTAACTAACTTACCCACCTAGTTAGTAACAACAAATCACACAGAAATTAATATGTTACTACTAAGTTAGTAATGTATACCCGACCACCACCTACTACTCAAACAAGTTAACACCACTCCGCTTATTACTTACTTACCTCAACCTCACGGCTCATGCATATTAAACCAACGTCCATATTTTACTAAGTAGTAGGTACATAATCTGATTATTTATATGTGGGGAAGTTAGAATTTAGTATAGTAGTAACTTGTCTAGACTAGACTACTAGACTACACTAGATTAGTATGTCTAGTAATTTGCTAGGCTAGGCTTTCTGCAAGGTAGATTTCTCTTTCCCCTCCATCTTGTTCTTTTCTTGTTTTGGTTGTTGGTTCTCTGCGCGCGCGCCTAGGCAGACGTCTACTTATTTGCTGTCTAGGCAGCTATCTTTTCAGTTTACTGTGTAGAGTGAGGACGGGATGGGTAGGTAACTACTGCTGCTGCTGCTGCTGCTGCCTAGTATAAGATAGGCAGATGGAATACTTGTTACAAACAATAAGAAAAGTAAGTAAGTACCTTCGACCCGTCCGTCCCACCCCTCAACCCTCTTATGTGGAGTAACGGAATGTGTGCAACATGCAACGTGTGTGTGTGTGTGTGTGTGTGTGTGTGTGTGTAAGATTCCTCTTCATGCAATGCAACATAGTACCAAGTAGTAAGTTTAGTTCTAGACACCCACATATCCCCGTTGTTGAACACAAGCAAGCAAGCAAGCAAGGCTGAGTTCCCCCTTCCTTTGCTTCCTTCCCCCCTCACCTGACACGGGCAATTCCCTGCACCGTGCAGGCTTTTTTCCTGCTCAGCCATCCCGCCACCACCGTCCTAATGATCCTCCCGTGCCGGCCATCTCGACTACTTCGTCAAAGCTGATTTCTACCCGGAACATCCGTCCGTCTGCTGTGCCACTGCCCCCGCCGACGGGGCTGATCAGCCCCCAGCTGACGAGCTTCTCCCATGCCTCGCGCGCCACGTCCCGACCCCAGACCCGTCCCGGAGTGACCGCTGCTCCGGACACTGAGGCCGATGTCTTGGCCGTCGTCAGCAGTCGCACGTACTCTGCGTACGCTGCGGGGAAGGAGAGTGCCAGTGGCGCAGCGCTCTGGAGCTGCGTTGTCTCGAAGCCTGGTTCGTATAGAGCTGCGAGGCGGGTCGCTGCGAGGAGGAGCGAGAGCGGGAGAGATGAGGGACTTGCGGAGGCGGTGGTCGACGCGGAGAATGGGAGAGGGGCAGGGTCCGGGCAGGCTAGAAGGTGACTGGTGAAGGTGGTAGCGGTGGGGATCTCCAGGGAAGATGTTCCTTCGGGAGTAGTAGTGAGAGAGTGGGTGCTGTGGTAGAGGTCGGTCAGTCCAATCAGAGCACTCGTGAAGAATTCCTTCACGGATTTAGTTTGATGGTATATCCTTCGTAGGTGGGATGCGAACGCCTCGTCGATCCATAGGCCCTAGAATTGCCGGCTAGGGTCAGCAAAACGTGGTCTGTGTGGTTATTTGTAGCGTAATGAGGCGCACTTACCTGCAGATAAGCTCTCCATCCTTCCAGTAAGCGACTCCAGCTGTCAGATTGGAGGATGGCTTGCTCTTCAGAATCAGCCAATTCTAGCAGTTCCGAGACTTCCTCGTCTTCCAGATTGAGTCCGGCGAAGCAGATGTCAGAAAACGTTTCCAGGGATCGTGGCAGTGGAACGTAAACGTAGCGGTGACTGAAGCGACTTTTGACTCGCTTCTCCAACATTTCCGTCACGTCCACCTTGGTCGTGAGCCCGATTACGGCAATTGGGGCTTTGCGCGCCTGCGCGATATCAAACAAGTTGTACAGCAGTGTTTGGCGAGGGTGTGTGACGAACAGATCAAACTCGTCTAGAACAATGACGATGGACTTTGCTGCGGTCGCAGTACCTGATTCATTGGACGGACCGTAGAGGTCCTCTGGGTGCGACAGAAGAGCAAGGAGTGTAGCCATGGTATCAGCGTAGCTGCTAACCTTGCCAGCTTCATCTTCAGTGTTTGTCTCACGGCCAAGCTGACGCCACATTTCGCGGAGCGCTAATCGGTCGTCCGTATGCAGGAAGCCATTTAGACGGACAACGTGGAAGTCATTCTTGTACGACTTTCCCAACGTCGAGATGATCGTCTCAACGATCGCGGTTTTCCCGCTTCCACGAGATCCAAGAAGTAGCATCGAGTTACCTTCACCGACAGTAACAGTTTGTTCAATCAGATGGTTGACCTTGTGATACTCAGTCTCGAGCCCTTTCAGTGGCACCCGTCGCTTGCCGTTCAGCTTTTGCGTAACATATCCTGTCAGTAACCGCAGCTCCTCTGTCAGACCTTCTTGCACAAGCGCTTGGAGGTTCGCAGCATAATCTGGAAGCGGCTCCCCGTTAGCGGCAACGGTCTGCTCAGTGGTGGTCAAGTCATTGTTGACAAGATCTTGCTGTAACTGCATGGACACGAGGTCCTCCAGCCCATCCTGGAAATCATCCGGTGTAGGAGACATCTGCGACTCGTCCCGTTTCTTAGACGCATCATCTTTATCCGTCTCGAACCGAACCGTGGCTTTCTTCGACCGCGTCCGTGTCGGTCGTCTTTTCGGTTGCGGAGACGGTTCGTCCTCGTCGTCGTCATCATCGTCGACGACCTCTGCTTCCTCCTCTTCCTCATCGCCCTCTGTTTCCGAAACATATTTGGCCCTGCGAGCGCTCCTCGTCGTCGACCCATTCGCGCCTAGGGTAGAAGCATTCCTCCTGCGCGATGGCGTATGCACGACCTCGTCTCCATACCTCTGCGGCGCTTTTCGCTGTCGTCCACTCGACCGTACTCCACCCCTCGTAGGTGTATCTGTATTTTGTACCTCATCCTCCTTTTCAGTCACTGCGGCGCCCTGCGAAGATCGCCGCCGCTTTGACCTCGATGTAGCTGGCGTTCCTGGGTCTTCGGCTGCGGGAGACGCAGCTTTCGTCTGTTCAATTGCTGGCGAGATGGGTGCGTCTTGAGCGCCCTCACCCATGGTAGTATCTCCATCTTCGTCAACCACTTGTGCGTCCGACACCCTTCTCCTCTTGCTGGCGCGCGGGTCCTTCATTGTGTTGAAATGGGTATTGCGTCGTCGGGGGAGGTTTAGCTGCACTACTCGTGATTGCGGTGCAGCTTCGTAACAATCGTCTTTTATATCCGGGTATATAATAAGGATAGGTCAATTGCGCGCACAGGAAACATCAGAGGGTGCGGCACTGGAGCGGAGGGATAGATGCGGAGAAGGAAATATTTTTGGACTGCGACCGGGAGATTCGATGGGATTGGTGGTCGGGATGAGGAAACAAAAGATAATTGTGTTAATTAGAAGAAAAGATATAGCTTATACAGATCCGATTATGGCCACTTCCAGCTATTCAGATAGACTGGGTTGGCTCAATGGAAGGATTGTATTGATTGTTGACGGAGAGTCTGGATGGAGTCGGGCCAGGCACGGGTGCCTTTCATGCCTGAGGCAGAAGACATGACGCCAGGTCAGGTGCATGTTCTTGACAGACAAGGTGAAAAGAACGTAATGAAAATACATACTAGCAACATCTTTTCAGAATCACCACAAGACTGTATAGACTGTCATCTTTACCATCTCCCCGAATATACTTGTGAAAGTGGATAAGAATAGGTCCATGACGAATATTCCCCCGGTTAAGATCACAAGCATCATGGCATAGCTTGTATATCACGGCCCGAATGCCGGGACAAATAACCACGCTTGAATGTCCCAACCAAACTATACAATGAAGTTAAAAGGCAAGAAAGTGTTACCAAGAAGGGAACTGACAAGTCAGGAACCTGAGCAGCTATAGCATACTTCCAGGGCGAGTAAGAGGTCCATACGGACAAGCAGGTTTACGATCTGCCGGCAACCTCGGTTGTTTGAACCCTTATCCCAAGGACATCGGACTATGAGAGATCACCCATGCAACAGAGTAATTAGTATCCTCCTTTCTCGTTCATTTAGCTATAAAAGTAGATTTCCTCTAGCCCCTTTACATAATTCTCATTAAGGCAACTTGACCAAGAAAAACCACGTGCCCATAATATTAGTCACATACATTCATCCATCGACTGAAATCCGCGGCCATGGCTCCGACAACTCCCCCCCAACCAGCCAAAATGCCAGCACCGAGCGTTCGTCCGCTATCCCAACTGACCCCGTTTGAGCAGACTGTGCACAGCTACTCTACGGGGCCTCCTACATTGGATAAGAACGACGAGGCACGTGCTATATATTTGTTGCCCCATCCGCAAACAGCATCCTAACGATATCCGCGCAGGCCTGGGACTTCTTCCCGCACGAATGCAACCTCCGGTTCGAGTCCGCCACGGAGGGTCCCCCGGCTCGCGTCTCGTATCTCCTTAAAGTCATCCCAAAGCAATGCAATTACCTCCAGAACCTGCATGGTGGGTGTGCAGCCACCATGGTTGATGTCCTTTCCTCAACGTTACTCATGGCACTATCCAAACCGGGCTTGTATTCTTATGGTGGTGTGAGTCGGAACTTGAAGACTACGTATATCCGGCCAGTGCCGGTGGGGATGGAGATCCGGCTGGTGTGTGAATTGGTGCATATGGGGAAGCGCATGGCGCTGCTACGGGCCGAGATTCAGAAGTTGGATGGGAGTGTTTGTGTCGTGGCTGAACATGATAAGGCGAATACGGATCCTGCGGACACCAAGATCTGAATTGGCCTTGGCGCATAATGATAGAAAGCAGGTTCTACACTGCAGATATTTGTCAAGATAGAATTATTCACACGTCAGGTGCACCGGACACCAACTTATCAGGTCAACTGATGTATATGCAGGCCCGACTACTACTTCAAGACACAGAACCCAAGTGAGTGTGCGAGTCCAATAGTGGTATGATTCATGAGCGTAGAGAAAGTCCAAAAGAAATTAGGATGACTCGATTCAAAAGCGCCCGTAGCGTCAAGATATTACCTTACCCCAGTATGCATTCCACGGAGATTTCCTTACTCCTCCGCAAGCTTCTGGCCCTCCCGGAGACCCTCAACAACCAACTCCTCGCCCGTCGCGCGACGGTAGATGTCCCGCACGTCGTCTATAGAACGTCAGTTATCATCCTGCAGCAAGTCTACGCGCTGGGGGCTTACCGGTTGTGGTCTCAAAGTGGGACGAAGGATCGTAGCTCTTCGAGATGAAGATGTTGTCCTTCTCACCGCTCTCGATAGGCTCATACAGGGGAATAGGAGCACCCATGAACTTCTCCTCAATCTTACCCAGGCGCTCGAACCCAGGCTCCAGCTCCAGGTGGTGGTTGGCATCCGTCTCGGCAATGGTGGAGACGATGGCAATGTAGTAGCCCTTGGGGCAGACGTTGTGAGCCGACGACACCATGGCGATGTAGATATCTGGCGAGAGTCAGCATGAATACAATTGCAAGGCTCCTAGTCAGTAAAGCTTACCGTGCTTTCTGCCGACCTGCGACTGGGGGATGATCAGCTGCAGCGAGTCGCTGCTGTCGGTCTTGTCGATGGGGTGGTTCAGGATGCAAATGGCCTTCAGCAGGTAGCCGGTGACTCTGGCCTTTCCAGGGAAGTATGAGGGGTCTGCGAGAATCTTCTTGGTCTTGGTGGAGAAAGTCATGGACTCGGCCTCGTTGTCGCGGTCCTTCATGGTGGCCTTGATGCCGGAAACCTTGCCGCTCTCGTCGTAGAGAACGTCGTCAACAGAGGTGTTGAGCATGTAGGTACCTCCGTAGATAGCAGACAGACGAGCGAAACCCTGGGGAAGCTCGCCCAGACCGTAGAGAGGGTAGATGTAGGGGGACTTTCCGTAGCGTGCCATCGAGTTCACGTACAAACGGATGCGGTTGATGGTCTCGACAGCCATACCCGGCTTGTGGATGTACTCATCGGACGAGTACAGGGCCATGGAGTGACCAACAAAGTCACAGGTGTTGGCCTCCAGTCCGAACTTGTCGTACACTTCCTTCATTGTGCAGTTGTGGACGTTCAGACCTATATTGCATTAGCGCCGGCGCTACAACGATCAAGCGTTCTTGGACCAACCCTGGTGGGTGGAGGGGTCATCCTCCTTGAATTCACCAACCCATTCCAGGAACTTCTTAGCTCTCCGCTTCTCAAACATGCCCATGAGAGATGAGCGCAGAGCTTCACCAGCATCAGAGGGCACCTTGGCAACGGTAGCCTTGGGACCCTTGCCTTGCTGGACGTAGCTGCCAGCAATCTGCTTGAACTCGAGGTATCTCGTAACATCGGTGGAAACCAGAATGTTGGTCAACTCTCCGTTGGCCATGAGCAACTTGGGGACCAAGTCGATGTTCCAGTCGTTGACGCGACCATACTTCTTCCAGGGCTCGTCGCCGGGCTTGACGTTGCCGTACTTCTTGAACAGCTAAAGTACGGAGGATGTGTTAGCAAGTCAGACTTCGAGAAAAAAAAAAAAAAAAAAGCTATTCTCAAGCTATATCCAGCTTGTGGGGACATTTATGAGCACTCACAGTCTCAATGTTCACCGAGGCAGCCTCACTGGAGTCACGGTTAGTGGCGGGTGGGATGACGGATAGCTACCAAGAAGCTGCCCAACTCACCCTCCATAGTGATCATTGCGATCGATGTGAAGCACCTTGTTTCCCTTGACACTGAGAACACTGTAGAGCAAACTGTCAGTAAACTGCCGCAGTGGAAATGCAAGCAGCAAGGAGTCCCTACCCCGAGAGGACACACTCGGTCAACCCTGTAGGAGGGGCGTCAGTACAGCTGTCGTCGAGCGGCGGCGGGGTAGCACATACCAGTGCCGAGCACCACAACATCATACTCGGGGGCAATCTCCTCCATGGTGTGTAAAGTTGCAGGTGGGAGGCTATGAAGAAAGGAATATACAGAAAAGAAATCTTAAAATGGGTCAAGAGGCACGCGGATGAGTAGTAGAGAAGATGTGCAGGAAAGAGGAAGAGAAGGAGAAGAGGGAAGATGCGGAGACGGCAGCGGTGAAGTTGAAGGGGAGGAGGGCGAAACTGAAAGGAGGCCCCCCGCGGATCATCGATCAGGAAATATTGATTCGTTATTTGTCTTAACGCCCGCCAGCCTGGCTCCACCAGTCCAAATAACGTTGTCATTTCAGGGTGATTTGCTCCTTATGACCATGCAATTAATTTGATGGAGCGTTCCCATCTTCAGTTTTCGCCTCCTGAGTTCTCCTCCTGCCCCTTTTTCCCATCGGACGTGCCGCAGTGGATCGATCATGTCTTCCGCTTTCGACGTAACAATTAGCTGGTCAGCTCCCTGACTATTGGACACACTATCTGCTCTCATCTCCCTTATGGCTCTATAATGCACTAGTCATGAGAAATTGACAGTCTAGATCTGGCATCCTTTTCCGCCACAACCAGGTACAGTAGGTAGGGTTCTCAACAGAACTACAGAACACTGGCTCTCGATCAGATCGCCAAAATCAAAACTAGCTGGAATTTCGACATGGGGAAACAAAGAAAATGATTGGAAAAAAAAGAAACCAAAAAACGTTGCCAATAATAAGAGAACATATACTACATACTACTACATACAAAGTACAGACCAATAATTTCTATCGGAGCTCCCAAATTCAAACCCCGGTCCATTTTGTGATATCTCACGTGGAGTTGATGCCCTTACTCCTGGCTATCCTCCTGGGGCCGGTAGCCCTTTCTGTAGAGACGCTGGGCCTCCTCCCAGGCGTACCATCTTTCCCGAAGAACGTGCTTGATGCCGTTTTGCGTGACGCGGATCTAGTACAGCCACTCGTTAGCACATTGGGCATCCAAGTGAGCAACAGCCAATTGCATATCATCGACTAATTGTGATGGTGCAAGAATTATAGCGTTCGTAATTCTGAAACAGGGACCAGCAGAATTGAACTTACCACACGATCCCGCTCAGCGGATTCCCACTCTCCGTAACCAGCCTTCAGTCTCTTCCTTTCCATATCGCTCGTAGCTATGCGATTGCGCTCCTTGACGCAGACCCACCAGAGGGAATGGAGATCGTCCCATGACTTCTCACGGAGTTCCTGAATCGACCACGAGCGGCCTAAACGATCGATAGTAAGCATCACAACGTCACCACAGCCTTATAGGGTCCCAAAACTAACCGCATTCGATGTCGTATGTCGGCGTGCTCAAAGCGGTCCGGTCCGTGGGGAAGAAACCCCAGAGTCCATGGTCTGGTGTGGCATTGCGCTTCGGGAGAGCGTCTGGGGAAACTGGCTTGGGCAATGGGTATTTGGACACGCCCAATCGGTACTTGGGGCCAGTGCGGTGAATAGCGGACACGGCGCGGACTTTGTTGAGATCACCACGGCCAGCGGCGACAGCGGCGGTGGAAGAAAAGTTCGAGCACTGGACGGTCGACCGGTTCATGGAGAAATGGAGAGACGGGGCGAGGTAGGGAGGGGGCAATTCGGCCAGCGGGAAAGCCCCGGACTGGCGAGCCAGTCGTAAAACAGACTGACGATGCATTGTGACCGTAAAGCAGCCCTGTGACGGCGAAGGGACTCAGTGGAGGATGTCCTTGCGGCCTCCGGATCAAAAGCGAACGGAACGGACTTTTGGGCGCCTAGATCACGTGTGCGGCTGCGGCTGGTAACACAGTGCGACCAACTGGGAACAACTTCCTACTTACAACATCGTGGGAAGGAAACTCGGGGCCGGTAATGAGTATGATTGAATTATTTCACTACCAATAGACCAGGTTTGTTTTCCTTGGTCGGATCGAATAAGACTAATGTATGTTGACAAAGTGGAAGAGGATGCCGATAATGATGCTATTGATTACATAGATAGCTGGGACGAAGGTGATGCACATGATCTATCATGCCCCCGTCTTGAGCACTAGATATTCCCTAATCTGCATAGTAATGTTGTTGGAAAGAAAAAATAAACCAGTAATCCATGACCAAACTTCCCATCATCAACCCAATTCAGTGCGTGGTCGTGTGCTCATGGTTACCAAGAAGCGAGCATGACCGTGAATGGGCGGCTAATGGAGGTCCGTGCAGGAACCAGAAGCGCGCGTCTGCAGCCACTCCACCTCCCAGAGCCGGCGCAACACTGTGTGGGCAGAGATCCTGGCTGCACATTGGTTTCTTATCGCTCACATGCTGTACCACTGTTTTTCTCTAAATCACACGCCAGAGACTTATTCTTTCATCTGTACTGCTCAAACGACTATCCTGCATTATGAATAGGCCAGGTTTGTGATTTTCACGTTCTTCCCTTTGTTCTCCCGATCGGGCTTGCTACGGCAACCCCAGCAGTCTCCGATCAGTGCTTTCTCTCATGCACATTCTCTTTGAGCTTCATCGTGCCGTGTGGAGGGTGGCTGGTGCTTGGATCCGTGTCTTCTTATCCATCGGGCTTCAATTGCAAGCTCTCTACCAGATGGATCTTCCTTTGCGACCGCAATAGCCTTCCTCGTCACCATGCCAAGCCCCTCCCCCGGCTTTGGTGAAGCAGTCCACCCCCCGAATTTGGCACGTTCACCTGGGCTATGTCGCTGATCACTGTTATGGCTTCCAGGACCCGGCCCCCAGCCCTTGCGAGGCATGTCCGGCTTCCCCGCCCAACAACAAGCACAAGCTCGAAATGCGGCATTAGCATCGGCGCGCCTGCCAAACGGTAAACTTGGTGCGACTCATTGTCTGGTCTCGACCTGGTAGATCCGCCTTGAAAGCTAACGGTGTCGGACCCCAACAGGTGGCGGAGCGAATTGGAACTTCAACCTACCCGTCAGCGGAACGCCGGGGATACAAGGCAACCAGCAGCGCAATATTGGGACCATGGGAACGTTTGCACAGAGCTTGAGCGGCTCTCAACCTGCTACTCCTCTTGACTTATCGTGAGTGTGGCTTGCTCTCTCTCTTTTTGATTGGGTCTATGGATAGGCCTCCTGAAGGACATGTCGAACTTATTGCTGAGAAACCTGACTGTTCCTTCCAGAGACTTCCCTTCGTTATCTGGAGCACCTCCGCAATCGCAAACCCAAAACCCGAGCCATCTAGTATGGGCAAACGCCAGCCAACGTGCGATGCAGCAGACCCCTGTGCAAAGGCCGCAGCATGCTACCTCCCAAGCACCCTCACGAGCTCCGCAGACACAGACCCACCACCCGCAACAGCAATCGCAACCCTCGCATGACGACGTATTTCCCTCGGGCGCACAGTTCGCAAACCGTTCGGACGATTTCCGGAATGGTGGACAGGGTATCAGCGGTCAGTTAGGTGCCGGGGGGCAACCTCAAACCGGCAACATTGAAGAATTCCCCCCGCTCGGACGTAATATCACCACGGACCTCGGTCAGGATCGGAGAGGATCATTGATACAAAGTACAGGGCTTGGCAACTACAACGGTGGCCTTCCGTTTACGGGCGTGAGCCAGGCTCAGTCTGCCCAAGCTCGCAACATGGTCGCCGCGTCGGTGAACGGACAAGAGCGGATAATGTCGCCTGCCACTGCAGGATCAGGGGGTATGTGTCAGTGACTTGGTCAACCCGATCTCAAACTAATAGATTCGATTCAGGTATCGAAACGTCCCGATCGCCGGTGAATCAGGGGTCAAGCAGGGTCCCGGGGCAAGAAAAGGAGGTAAGGGTCGCGACCAGACACGCTTATCGCTTCAATGCTGACATGGATTTAGGAGTTAAACAACAGTGTAATATCGAACCAGAGTGCTTACACCGAGCAACACATCATGCGGCCGCCAGGGTTTCCTGCTACTGGGAAGGAAGCTTCAGGGGCTGCGCAAAGTTCTGATCAATTACCACTGGCCGAAATGAGCGAGCTCGACAAGTTTGGGCTGGCAGGCCTGCTGCGCATGATTCACAGCGATAACGCCGATGTCTCAAGTCTCGCGGTAGGACAGGATCTCATGACATTAGGCCTGGACTTGAATCAACCAGAGTATGTTCTGGCCACTTGTTGAACTTCGAAGGCTTTTCTCACACCGTCCTAGACCCTTACATACGTCATTCGCCTCGCCGTTCGTCGCCTCCATGCCAGGAGTTCCTTTGGAACAAGATTTCGCTCTCCCGGCGTGCTACAATGTCGCCAATGTCCAGCCTCTCCAGACACGTATCCCGAGTTTCAGCGACGAGACCCTATTCTACATATTCTACAGCCAGCCTAGAGATTTACTGCAGGAAGTCGTTGCGGAAGAGCTCATGGGTCGGAAGTGGAGGTACCACAAGATCGAACGGTGCTGGCTTACCCGCGACGAGACGTACCCCGGTCCTGTTGACGTCGATCGCGGCGTGAGTGAAAGGGGAGTCTACCTATTGTGGGATCCCGCCAGTTGGAAGAAGGTTCGGGTATGTCTACCGTCATCTCTGCTTGATGTCGTCTCTCAATGACTCGCGTCACGCATATACTGACCAGATGCTACAGCGCGAGTTTATTCTTCGCTACGAGGATTTGGATAACCGGATGGATCCGAACCGGGGTCTTGCACGAGTCGGATTTCCGCATAGTTCGTGAATGTCTGAAAGGAGCACAGGGGGGAGGGGATAGGATCAAATGGCGTTAGGTTCACTACCAGTTTTCAGGTGACTGTTTCAGGTGTTGCAGTTTTGCCGAGCAACAGGTGTTTCTCTAAGCTTTAGTGGTCTATCCGGGACAAGGACATTCATGCGAATTCAATGACTTCTATGACCTCACTTTCTGGTGCTTCGAAGTAGCTGATAAACAAGTAAACAGCATTTCCATTAGCACTAACACTATTGCATGAATTACTAGCAATCTCAAAAGTACTCTCAACACCCAATCCATGCGTTATCGACTATGGCTTCCTCCCCACCGCAAGAACAGCCACCGGATCCATTTTAACCACGCCATCGGCTCCAAACTTCTCCTCCAGATACTCCCTAATCACCAGCGGCGCCTTCGCCTCATACATCTCCCGCTGCTCCGGTGTCCAAAAAGCTCCAGTCACAATAGGGATCATCCCTTCACCGACCTCCATGAACTCGGATACAGTCAACGAGGTCTCCCTCTGCACAGAAGTAACTTCCACATCTTCGAACCCTTCCTCTTCAAACCGGGCTTTCACGAATGTCTCGTCGTCCCAGCCTTCGTTATGCAAGGCCAGGAACTCTTTCATGGTGGGGAACTTGACGTTCCATGGCGTGGCTTCGATGGCTTCTTTCATAATGACGAGCCAGGATGCTGATATACCTTTGGTTAGACTGCTAATTGAAGTGGCAGATTGAAAGGGAAGAGCATTGACATACAGGTCCTCCACGTCGAAGTCGCAAGCACGCCCCCGGACTGGAGGATACGGAAGCATTCTACCATTGACAAACACACACAGTCAGCTTCTTCACTTCCGAACCAATCACCAATCCAAACAATATCAGCGAAACACCAACAAGAATACTTAGTACTCACCTCTCATCGCAGCCCTCGCATTAGGTATCATCATGAACGCTACCAACACACAACATCAGTCATCCATCCATCCATCCATACATTCCTCCACAAACACACCACCACCCCCTACCAAAACCAGAATATTTATAGTTCACACCACTCACCAAAAGCCGACAACACATGCGTATACCTATCCCCATCCAACCCCGTCCACTGAGCATCCACGACCTTCGCCTCAGCATTCACCCACCCTTCCTTCTCGCTCCGCAACTTGGTATACTCCACCATCAGCTCCGTGACATCTCCGCAGGTCAGCGTCCAGTGTCTCTTGACCTCTTCAGGCAATGTGCTGTTCAGGTAGCTGGATACGACACCCAGTCCGCAGGCGTTGTCGAAGACGACCAGGGGCTGCTTCTTGTTGTTATCACTGGGGGTAGATAGGATGCCGGAGTGCTGGACGAGAGGGGCCACGAATACGCCGGTGAGTTTCTCGGCGAGGTGGTAGCGGGATACGAAGGCTGGGGTGAGGTATGAGGAGGGGGAGATTTTGGGGGGCATTTTGAGGGGTGGGCGGATGGTGTTGGGATTTTGGGTTATGAAAAAGGGTTTGAGTTGGTGGTGTTGAGAGAGATGAGTATTGGTTTGGGTGATGATGGGGATGAGGGATGGCTTGAGAATGGGCACGCTTTTATATATTTCTTTTGGCTGCTTCGTGTTGCTCGTTCTACTGCTTGGCTGTGTGCTGAGGCGCGAAGGATGGGAGTATGTCTCCGATATGTCTCCGCGAGCACCTTGGTGACTGTTTGTCGGGGACTTGGATTGGATGGATGTATTATCAGCTGATGCTTTACGTTCTAGGCCCATGATAGGTATCATTGGTAAAGCGGAAAGGATCCGATTGTATGGTTTACTTGGTTAGTTGGTAGAGATGTCTCCGGAGGCTATTCGTACACTTCCATCCCAGCATGCCAAGATGCAACACCACAGGTTTCGAAGACCCAAGGTTCGAATTAATGTCCATAACGCACCGGAGGAATGGCACAAATAAAATAAAATAAAAAAGATCGAAGAGAGAATGCAATCTACCTGACAAGACCAATAAGGTAAGAGGAAAAAACAAAAAAGAAACGTCCCGGGAGAGGATCGAACTCTCAACCTCACGATTAACAGTCGTACGCGCTAACCTTTATATTGAATTAGTAACTGATGTGATTGGATTAAATTTGTTGAAGGGTAAGCTTACCAATTGCGCCACCGAGACGACTCGTTAAAGATTGGCGTTCATGTTGGCTATATCAGGGATGACTTTACGGGACAGGAGTGATTAACTACTACCACCCCTATGCAAGAGCTGTTTGTTGTCTTCGCCGGTTCTTGATGGTGATGATATATTTTGATTGAGTTGGTGAAACGGTTCGGAGATATATTCCAGGTGTGCAAAATGCTTTCGTAATGATATGTGCGATATGAGATGACTGCATAGTAGTAGTATGTAGCGATGGCTTAAAGTCCACACTGGTCTGGCGTACGGCTTCCTGTAGCTGTACAGCAAGCACCTCCTTGTCTTCTATTGTATTGGTAAAATGGATATGTAAGAGGCGGTGGTCTAGATGATACCTTGAATACATTTTCTTCCTCTCATTATGCCATCGAAAACTCGGAATAGGCGTCCCGGATCGTGCAGAATGACGTTCATATTACCATGCACTGAGGAGGGTGTCCCTCTTAATTCGAATCTGATGAAGACTCTAGATTGCTAGTATTAACAGCGTGCTATCAAGAGACTGCATATGTGATGATATCTGGCATTTGCATCTGGTCAATAAAGTCTCTGTCATGGGCACCAAATAGTACTTTCGAAACTGTTATCGTTAACCTGACGTGGCACACAATTATTGTTGGATGGAACTTATCACCACATAGTCTGCGTAAAGAATTGGACTAGCAAGGGGGTGTAGGAACTCCCATATACCCTACTGAATACTACTCGAACTCACAATTCGTCCGATACGGCTGCGCTTTTTACTTTGTATCTTGAACGGGCTTGCGGGGCTTCTGATGGCTGCAGCCACCTTTGGTCAGGATATACCGTGATCCCTGGAACCAAGTAGACCATATATCGGAGGTAGAGAAGGTACAGAAAAGTCGTTATTATCTGTGACCAGTTTTCTAAAACTGAGAGGCAATGCCGGTGTATGCTGGAACATGGCGGTTAGTAGTATAGCACGAGAGTAGCGTCGTGGTGATTGCAGGTTGCCAGCGCACAATCATGAAGGCTACCAAACCAATACTTTATTGTTCCTTCGCCCATGAGTTGACTATTCGGCTCAACAAGGAAAAACAAAAGGTAGGGGGGAGGTGGTCAGAAATATGCAAAAAAGAAGCGTCCCGGGAGAGGATCGAACTCTCAACCTCACGATTAACAGTCGTACGCGCTAACCTGTATTCGGATTAGTAACTGAGAGATATGATTAAGTTCGGAAGTGAAAGCTTACCAATTGCGCCACCGAGACTACTCAGTTGTTGCAGGGGTCCACTTATGGTTCTATCAATGGGTACAGCCCAATGAATATGATCCAGCTCATGACGCCACCAGCTGTTACACCTCTAGAAGAAGCTGATTATTGTCCCATCGAAACATGTAACGTGTCTGATCATGTCGTAGTGGCTCATAATCGACGGCTTGTTTTTTCAAGCGTATGCTAGAGTATCCCAGCTCTGGACTGAAACGAACAGTAGAGAAGACTGTTCTCTGGTGCTATCCTCGCCCCTGGCCGGATGCTGCAGCATGATCAATGAAACGGGTTCCCATGTTATGGCCCACAGCCTGGTGTTTCTCGATGCTTCTGGAATCACATGGTATCGAACTGACCGTAATGCATTTGCCACACTGACAAGTAGTCAACTCACAGTACTCTGTAGGACCTGTAGTGATCTCGAGTAGCTGGGTATGTTGCTCACTATGTATGCTGTATACTCCCAGAAACGGTGGCAATGCCATCGGCAGGGGAGGTAGGTCGCGTGAGAATCATAGGGTGTCATTTTCATTGTGACAGTCTAAGCTCGCCTCATAGTTCTGTAGTCTAGGCCTGCGGCATGGCTGTTCTGGTTGATCTTTCCTCGTGCGGTATAGCCTTGTTCATCACTTCTCATATATGAAGTCTCCCATGCTTGTCGCTTTCGTGCCCTCTGTTGGCCACCGTTTGGTCATTGTATGGCTCCAGCGACTGTGTATGCATATGATTGGGAGCGACTTCTATCCGCCAGGCCCCCATAACATGCAGCTGATTGTTGACGCAATAGGGGTAATTCTTGGTGGCAAAGGTTTGAAATGTTGCCAGGCCAGCGTTCGCTTTTCTTGCATTCGACGTCTCTCTATCAGCCACAAAAAAAAAAATTATTGTGGTCACCATTGAGCCGACCATAGGGGTCTGCTGGACTTGACTGCTCCGTATCTTTTATAGTTGCGGGCTGTATGGTGAGTTGGAAAAACAAAATACAAAAAAAGAATGGACGTCCCGGGAGAGGATCGAACTCTCAACCTCACGATTAACAGTCGTACGCGCTAACCTTTATATTGAATTAGTAACTGATTGATTGGATGAACATGATGAAGGGCAAGCTTACCAATTGCGCCACCGAGACGACTCGTTGGTGCCGGCGACGAGATCAGGCATCGTCAATGCTCGATTCCAGAGGGCGATGGAAATTGGACGACGCCCACCCATGCCCTACAGTCCAAAAATGGTCTGAATACAATGCAAGCTGCGTGTTAGTGTGGTACATACCTGCTCAGTTCTACACACAATAATTGATATGACACTATAATATTTCTGTACTTAGCTATATTCTGTGGCCGGCTTTTCTTAGGGCTATCAGACTCATACCGTATTGTGTTGATTCTATATATCCGTCGCTGCGGTGTGACAATATACAACAACCGCCCACAAGTACGAAAGCAATCTACCTAAGCCAGTGCACAGTCATGTAAACGGGCTAAGAAACGCAGACAACTGCAAACCGATACACACCGCCCTGATACCTAAGGGACCGTGACGTATACCAGTGATGATGTTCCAGATGTTCACAAAGGTGGAGTTAGCTACCTACGTACGTAGTCAACTCTTCCAATCAATTGGTTGGTTCAAACATTTCTGCTATACCTATATAACCCATCATGGTTTACTGAACAATGCTTTCCTAAAGCACAGAGTATGAAGTATTTTAGTGATTAATGGATTGAATGGCATTGTCTGGTACATATATGTGAATTAATATACAATACACGTGTGATGTTAGCAGCACTGCGATAATGCACATCAAGTTAGACAAGGAGGTGAAGGAGAAAAATATAGTCACAGTCTGAAAATCTGTAAAGTTGTATGAAAGTTGTATGAAAGTTGTATGAAACCTCGATTTTCGACACTCACACATTGTGCTTCTTGAGAAAGTCCTGAATGAAGTCAAAAGCACCTGGGGCCGCATAATGCAAGTTCAAGGCGTGACCTGCAACAGGAGCCACATAGGTAGCAGTATTTGCCTCTGACAATTCCGGATACAGCGCAGGCACAAGACCAGCCAGAATATTGGTCGGAGAACTGCAGTTTCCGTTACAGAAAGGCAAATCTTCATTTCCAGCAACGACCGCAACGGGACCTTGGAACTCGCTTGTTGCATTGACAACATGGGTTAATGTGAAGAGTTCACCCAGCGTGAAGCTTCCCTTGGTGGCATCGGCCAGCGATAGGATTTCAGGGTCAAAACCCGGGTCGTGGAAAAACGCAATCTGATTCGACACCGACGTCCCAGCGACAAGGTATCCAGCAGAAAGTCCACTGAAGCGGTACGGCTGGGTTTCCGAGGCAATTGCTGCATTAAGTCCCAGACCAAAACCAGGCAGACCGTTCGAATTGAGTGCAAATCCCGTCAGCACTGCGGCGTCGAGAGTCTTGGGGTAAGCCGCGGTGACACCCTGGGTCAGGATGCTCCCAAACGAGTGGCCTACACCAACAACAGTCGAAAAGGCGCGGTCACCAAGGGTACCTTGGCGAAGTTTGCTTGCCAGCGTCTTGAGAATCTCCAGCTCGAGTGGTGATTGCACGACATTCAATGGGTCTTCCTTTGACGATGCGCCAACGCCGAGACGGTTGTACAGGAATGTGGCATACCCTGCGGCCGCGGCGGTGTCGACGTAGCTGTATCCCGAGGCAAAGTCCCAGTAGTGGCGGTCCACGCCAATACCGTGCGTGAGGATTTGAACCTTGGTTGTCTTTGAGGTTTCGCCTGCAGGCAGACAATATGTCGCCTCGATATCGTAGCTGCCGCTGACCCGTTGGGTGCCGCTCGCGAGGGATTTCAGGTAGCCATCCCCGCCTGACGACCACAGGCTGACGAGTGTCTGGGTTACTTGCGACTGGTTAGAGGGCAAGTCGTACGCGAACTTGAGGTTTTTGTCGGTAGTCGCGTTGACTTTAACGGTGCCGGAGACGCAATGGGCTGATCCGCCGTTGGAAACGTGAACGGTAGGATTCGCCAACCCGGTCACATTGGGGAATTCAAGTCCAGCAGCACCCGAAAGAGGAGAGGAATTGACGTTCTGGGCCAATGCAGCAGCACCGAGCAAGGCAGAAGTAAGGGTCTTCATGGTTGTTGTTGGGCTAATCGATAAAGGCGAGGAGCGAGGATACGAGCTGATTTGGATTCCTTCAGAATTGTCTTTCATAGAATATGTTTTCAATCTTCTTATATACTACCCAATCCACATAATTGTGAGCACATAATTATGGCATCCAACCTCGCAAGAAACCCCCATTCGGGACAATTCCAAATATCAAAAACATGGGCAGCCGAGGGCCGCATGTCCGGGTATTTGCCGGCCTGACAGGAGTTGCATGCTAATATTGATCTAACAGGCCACTGGGACGAGTGTAATGATGCTTTGTCATTAGAAACTTTCGGCAGCCTTCAACTCCCAACTGTTTCAAAGCATGTTCCCCACATATTCAGCCCCAAATTAGAAAAGATAGCGAGGCGGTAGAACATCGATCGTATATTTGTCATGAGCCTAGAACACCTGAACGAATTGACTATCAAAACTGATTAATCTCTATAGCGATCTGATTAGCGGACTCTCAGATAAATCATGAAAGATGGTACTATAGGAATCAGCAATTCGCAACGCTTTGAACACTCCACGATTGAATGAGTCCATCACAGATTTGGCAGGGTTATTGCACGAAAAAAACCAACAAGATTTGACGTTCTTGAAAGGGCAAAATCGACAAAGGTTTGGAAGCACGTCATTAGGTATAGCGAGAGACTGAGACTGTTCTATGCGCTGTTCCTGTATAGGGCTAATCTAACCCAATTAGGTATGTGGTTTGACTGTAGGTTGCAAGTTGGAACCGTTCCAGAAGCTCCATATTACCAATTGCCCGCGTTTCCGCATTATCAGCGCTGGGGTATGCGCGAAATGACAAATCTTGGTTACCAGTAAGGAAAAGTGTGCTTTGTTGGCGGGGCCCGGAGGGACCCGGAGTGTACGGAGAAGCGGAAGTTTAAGCAGTATGCGATTGCGACGACATCTGGCTGCTTGATGTCCATACTGTTGGGAGTTGTGGCGGCGGACTGGTCGTAGCTGGTCTTGAAAGACCTTAGAGAAGGCTACTTCGCCACCAACATAGACCAGTCTGCGGTTTAAGAGTGCTATGGCCTCACTTTCCTTCGCCAGATAGACCGCCATTGACGCGAGATTTTACTAAAAGTCGCACTTCTCGTTTCCCAGACCATCAAACATGCCGGTTTTCCGGACTGCATCCATTCAGATAGGATACCATTGTTCTCGCTGAAGCTTCACTCCTGGGTGAGCCTGCAGTGATCCTGTTCGTTCCCGGAGTAGCTTCGGTTTTGATCTCGCTCCACAATAGCTTTGACGAAAGTTGCGCGGTGCTGTTTTATCTGCTTTAATTCGGATGTTCTCCGTCTCGCCCTGGAGCCCCAGGCAGTTGTTGACGATTTGCTGGAGCTGGACTGGTTGTTGCAGAAGTTTGAGAGCATTTGGGGACGCTAGGTTGGTGTCTAGACTTATCCCTGATAGACCCGGCTCCGCCCGGGTTGCCCTCGTTGAAGAAGATACCATCGATGATGATGTTGCAAGTGATGCCCAACTTCTTCCTGCGCAGGTGTTAACCTGTGACGTCTGGCTTGTAGACATGCCGTTGCGAAGATCGCGTCCTATCGCGGTGAGTTCTGATATTTCCTTTCGTAGTTCCTGGATTCCGAGGATTGAGGGATTCTGTCGGTTGTGTTTCTGAACTTCTAGTGCAAGTATACCCAGTAAGGGTACACATTTCTAATACAAATACGTACTTTCAGTGTGGACGCTGTATACAATTTGTCCGCCGCATTTGCGGATAGCGAACTACGTTACAATCACGAAGTATACCATACAATGAGGCCATGCCCGGAAAGCAGACGCCCAATAATACTGAGGAGCTCCATGTCCAAGTTTGATATAGAGTTGGTAACGACTCTTTGTCCATATATGTAGGACAAAAAGAACAAAAAGAAAGAGCAGGATGAGCCACGGTTCCACTGGACTTTGCGCCGGCTATGCCTGTCCAAGGCAAAAGGGAAAAAGAGAAAAAAGATGCGTCCCGGGAGAGGATCGAACTCTCAACCTCACGATTAACAGTCGTACGCGCTAACCTTTAATGCTGAATTAGTGACTGATTGGGTCTGATGTAGTGATGAAAGGTAAGCTTACCAATTGCGCCACCGAGACCGGTTGTTGAGAGAAAGCCACTATTAGAGCTAAATAAGCTAAAGTGACTTTCTGACTGACAACCATACCTATTATCACGTGTAACCCCTCCATGATTACATTATCACGATAGCGCGCACCAACCCCGAAAGAGCAAACCGTAAACAGCGCTGGGCCCCGACGGCAAAACACCGCCCGCAAAATCGCTCCCCAGACGTCAATCAATCCCGCAACTGTTCTCTCGGTCCCCCCTCCCATGCACCTGATCGTCTAGTTCATGGGGCTGGATCAGAGTCGCAACAATGAGGATTACGGAGATTATTATTGACGTAAGTTCATGTTCTCCGCTGCCCGGAGAATGTGCGATCGCTGACTGTCAACACACAGGGCTTCAAATCGTACGCCGTGCGTACGGTGATCTCAGGATGGTATGCGCGGATTGAGACGCCTTCCACTGTGCAATTTGCTTGATGATGGCAGACCTAACATTTCTTACATAGGGACGAATCCTTCAACTCCATCACCGGTCTCAACGGTAGTGGTAAATCGAACATTCTCGATGCCATCTGTTTCGTCCTCGGTATCACGAACATGTCCACTGTTCGCGCGCAGAACTTGCAGGATCTCATCTACAAACGTGGTCAAGCCGGTGTGACCAAGGCCAGTGTGACGATTGTCTTCGATAACCGCGACACCGCGAAATCGCCGATCGGATTCGAGGAATATGCGACCATCTCGGTGACACGGCAGATTGTTCTTGGAGGCACGAGCAAGTACCTCATCAATGGACACCGCGCGCAGCAACAGACCGTGCAAAACCTCTTCCAGAGTGTGCAGCTGAACATCAACAATCCCAATTTCTTGATTATGCAAGGTCGTATCACCAAAGTCTTGAATATGAAACCCGTTGAAATTCTGTCCATGATTGAGGAAGCGGCCGGTACACGGATGTTTGAGGATAGGAGGGAAAAGGCTGTGAAGACAATGGGCAAGAAAGAGCTCAAGTTGCGCGAAATTGAAGAGCTTCTTAAGGAAGAAATCGAGCCCAAGCTGGAGAAGCTGCGATCCGAAAAGCGCGCTTTCCTCGATTTCCAACAGACCCAGAATGACTTGGAGCGCTTGACTCGCTTGGTGGTTGCCCACGACTACCTTAGGGGCAACGAGAGGTTACGGGTTTCCGGAGAAGAATGCGAGCAAAAGAGGAACAAGGTGCAGGCACTGGAAGACAATGCGGCCAAGCTGAAGAGTGAAATTGCTCACCTTGAGGAGGATATGAAGCGGGTCCGAGCAGCCCGCGATAAGGAACTACGGAAGGGTGGTAAATTTCAGGCTCTGGAGGATGAGGTCAAGTCCCACTCGCATGAACTTGTTCGTTTGACCACCGTTTTCGATCTCAAGAACGCCAGCATTGCTGAAGAGAAAGAAAAGAGGAAGGAAGTCCAGAGAACCGTGACGGACCTGGAGAAGGTCCTCAAGGAGAAGCAGAAGGTCTATGATAAGCTTCAGGCGCAGTATGATGCCGCTAAAGCAGAGCTTGACGCCCAGACAGCTGAAGTGGAGCAGAAGGAAGAATTGCTCCAGACCCTGCAGACTGGTGTCGCTTCAAAGGAAGGCCAGGAGAGTGGTTACCAGGGCCAGCTTCAGGACGCTCGTAACCGTGCAAACACGGCTGCCACTGAACAAGAGCAGGCTAAACTCAAGATCGCTAACTTGGAGAAGAGGATCAAGGAAGAGGAGCCGCGCGCGAAGAAGGCCAAGGAACAGAACTCCGGTCTCCTGAAAGAATTGGAGGGACTGAAGTCGCAAGCTAAGAAGCTTGATTCAGAACTTTCTAGGCTAGGATTTGAGCCGGGTCGCGAGGAGGAGCTTTACCAGCAGCAGACTGAACTTCAAAAAGAGATCCGTGAGTTGCGTCAGAGAGCAGACGGCCTCCAGAGGAAGGTTGCGAATGTCGATTTCAACTACAGTGACCCCCATCCTCACTTCGATCGTTCTAAAGTCAAGGGTCTGGTTGCGCAGCTCTTTAGCCTTGACAAAGAGAAGCTTCAAGCTGCTACAGCACTGGAGATCTGCGCGGGTGGCCGTCTGTACAACGTTGTTGTCGACACCGCCGAAACCGGTACCCAGCTGCTTCAGAACGGAAGACTGAAGAAGCGCGTGACCATCATCCCCTTGAATAAGATATCCTCATTTGTTGCCTCGGCAGAGAAGATTGGGGCGGCGCAGAGGATTGCTCCCGGGAAGGTTGATCTTGCCTTGTCGCTCATTGGCTACGACGAGGAAGTCACTTCGGCGATGAACTACGTCTTCGGTAACACCCTGATTTGCAATGATGCCGATACAGCTAAGCGGGTCACTTTTGACCCATCCGTTCGGATTAAGAGTGTGACGCTCGAGGGTGATGTCTATGACCCATCCGGTACTCTGTCCGGAGGTAGTGCTCCCAACACGAGCGGTGTGCTTGTCACCCTGCAGAAGTTCAACGAAATTACCCGGGAGATCCGGAGTAAGGAACGACAGCTGGCTACTGTGGAGGAAACAATGAGGAAGGAGAAGAAGAAGCTGGATGCTGCTCGTACAATCAAGCAAGAGCTGGACCTTAAGACCCACGAGATTAAGCTTACGGAGGAGCAAATTAGCAGCAACTCGTCTTCCTCGGTAAGTCCCACTTCGATGCTTCCTTTAGACGTATAACTGACGAAAACAGATCATCCACGCCGTAGAAGAGATGAAAGCGAACATCGAGCAGTTGAAGAAGGACATCTCTGACGCAAAGACTCGCCAGAGCGAAGCATCCAAGGATATCAAGCGGATCGAGAAGGATATGAGTGAGTTCAACGACAACAAGGACAGCAAACTTGCGGAACTGCAGTCTTCTCTGGATTCCCTGAAGAAGAGTTTGGCCAAAAACTCCAACTCGGTCAAGACCCTGCAGAAAGAGCTTCAGAACTCCCGGTTAGAGCTGGAGCAAGTTGGCGGTGATCTGTCGGCGGCCGAGGAACAAAACGCTGAGGCCGAAAATACCCTCAAGGCTCAGATGGAAGAAATCCAATCGCTGAAGAGAGAACAAGCTCGGATCAAGGTAGGAATGTCAAGTCACGACTTAAGACCATCTGCTAATGATCTATAGGACGCGCATGATATTGCCCAGGCTCACCTGGAGGACGAAAGGGCTAAGCTGACCGGTTTTGATGATGAGCTGCGTGAACTCGAGCGGACGAAGCAGTCGAAGAACTCCCAACTTACGGAAGAGGGCTTGGAAGTCCAAAAGCTGGGACATCAGCTCGAGAAACTGCAGAAGGAGCAACAAGCTGCGGCGCAGACGGTGGCTCATATGGAGGAGGAGCATGAATGGATCGCTGATGAGAAGGATAACTTCGGACGGTCCAACACGGCATACGATTTCAAGAACCAGAATATCGCCGAGTGCAAGTCGACACTGCGCAACCTGACGGAGCGATTCCAGGGCATGAAGAAGAAGATCAACCCCAAGGTGATGAACATGATCGACAGCGTCGAGAAGAAGGAGGCTGCCCTGAAGAACATGATGAAGACCGTCATTCGTGACAAGAGCAAGATCGAGGAGACCATCATCAACTTGAACGAGTACAAGAAGGAGGCCCTCCACAAAACATGGACTAAGGTCACAGCCGACTTCGGACAGATCTTCAACGACCTGCTGCCCGGCAGTTTTGCCAAGCTAGAGCCCCCTGAGGGCAAGGATATCACTGAAGGTCTGGAAGTCAAGGTGTCTCTGGGCAAGGTCTGGAAGCAGAGTTTAACTGAGTTGAGTGGTGGACAACGGTACGTGAATTTTCGATGGATTACTCTTTCCTGGCTACGAGCTAACATTTGTCTAGGTCTCTCATTGCGCTTTCGCTAATTATGGCGCTACTACAATTCAAGCCGGCGCCAATGTACATTCTGGACGAGGTTGATGCCGCTCTGGATCTGTCGCATACCCAGAACATTGGTCGGTTGATCAAGACGCGATTCAAGGGATCGCAGTTCATCGTTGTGTCGCTGAAGGACGGCATGTTCCAGAATGCCAACCGGATCTTCCGCACAAGGTTCAGCGAGGGAACCAGTGTGGTCCAGGCCTTGACTCCTGCCGACATGAAGTAGACCTCAAGCTGGGATTGTTATTCTTCATTTGTCGATATTGCGTTGGTGCATATGGGTCTTTTGGTTTGGACATTGGACATGGCGCGTTACGTGACAGGCCAGGAGGTTGGGACGGGGTGTTTTCGGATGATGTATATGATTCTGGATGATTCTGCAGTTCTACACCGTACTCTTATGAGATATGTTAATGACGGACGCAAGGAGATCTCCGTAGAGACAGCGGTAGGATGCAATAAGTTGTTGGAGGCTGGAGGCTGGAGTGCTGGTAACTTACTATAAAGGGCGACCAACTGCTGGCATCATCTGCCACAACATTAGTTGAATGCCAGCAAGACACGGCCTTACTCGGTGCTCAGCCACCCTATCCAGTTGAGTCAATCGGCCTTCTTCTTCTCCTTTTCTTGGTGGGGGGAGTTTATTTGCTTTTTCCTCACCTTTTTCCCCTGGCCAAATCGCCCCGAAACTCAAGCACCGCCGCAGTCGGTCAACGTGCCCGCCCCGATCCGGCCGGGATCCGATTGTCCCACCGCCACCTCGCCGCTTTCCCCCCAAACGAACTGCCGCGGCATCACTCCTCCTCCATCCCCAGCATTCTATTCAACGCCGCCTTGTTTTGGGCTTCGAGCTAAAACTCTCCTACTCCGTTGACTCCAAGGCGGTCGCATACGCCAGTTTCGAGCTGCGACTCCCCAATCTGACCCAACCAACAGTCCACGTTTCGTCCTATACCCGCTACCTCGTCCAGAGAGATCCTCACAACAATGCCAGAAGAAGAGCCGTCCCTGAATATCCCCTCTCTCCTCACCCTCGCCGTGGTGTCATTCTTCGTGCTTCGATGGTTCCTTAACCGCGATGGGGGAGAGGCCGGGCCAGGTAGCAGTCGCAGTCGGCCGCGAGGCACCGTCGACCCAGCTCAAGTCGAGCAAATATCCCAGATGTTCCCTCAGCTCAGCGCCCGTGAGATCATGTGGGATTTGCAGCGCAACGGGGGTAGTGTTGCGGCGACGACGGAGAGAATCCTGACCGGTCGGGGGCTGGAAGTGGTGAGTCTTTCCCCTCATTCCTATCTTACTTTTATGCATGAAGACCCGCGCCGCTGGTCGTTCATCACCTTCTCTTCTCTCTTCCCCTTTCTCGTTCCCCGCATTGTGTCAGATGCATGGCCAGCTAACCGAACCTACCTTGTAGCCGCCCCCATCCTTCCAACCTCAGATTGCGATCCCCAATACAGCCCCGGTTCAGTCACAACCTACCCAAACGCCGACCTCCAAGGCCGATGCCCAGGATCTGATCTCCCGATACAACCTTCGCGCGAAACTCGAGGCCGAGAACAGCGCCGCTGAGTCCGCGCCGTCGCAGGCTTCTTCCACGACGGGCTGGTCGCAGAGCAAGGAGGAGCGCCAGCGCTTGCTGCAGAAGCGCAGAGACGAGATGATTCTGGCGGCGCGGAGGAAGATGATGCAGAAGGATCAGGCTGCTCAATGAAGTTAGCCATGCTATATCGTTCGTGGGGACTGGAAATTTGGAACTAACCCTTTGGGGCCCCGGTATTGCGCGTCATAGGGGCAGGCAGATTGACGGCTTACTCGACGAGGGTTTTTCTTTATGCCGTTCATTCTGTATTGAGTTGGATTACTTTTGTGTGCTTCTTCGATCTCCTTCGGGTTGTTATATACCTCTTGTTGCCGGCGTTGGGGATGTGTAAGATTCAATCCATTGTTATTGGCATATCTGTTGTTGATTTCATTTGTCTTTCGGAGATTGACTTGTCATGTCTTTTTTCTACTTTCTTCCCTCTCTCCTCTCACTCTCATCTTAAGCTGAGCGTCGCATGCATCTGGTGTTTTTGATAGGGGGATATGATCCGGACTACTTACTACCTATCTACTATTTGCTTACTAGCATGACACCCGGCCCATCAACCAAGTAACTTTCAATCAATGATTTAGGGTATATATACATACATGTGTCTGATGTATGTGCGATGCCAATATGATCATGTCCTGCCATGTCCCATACATATATAGACTTGACCCCGATAACTCCCGTCACGAAATAAACACTGAACACTGAACCAACCCACGCATTGCAAATATAAAAACGAGAGAAAAGAAGGAGAAGAAACATCTAAAACTCCATTTCATCATCATCGTCTTGCGTCCCATCATACCCTCCATTCGCCATTTCCTCCGCCATCTCTTCTCTCCTCGCCTGTTCCTTCGACGCCCCGATGCGCCTATCAACATGACTCGTTAGCAATCCACGCACGACTCAACAACACAAGTAAAGAATGTGGAGGAAGCGCTAAGAACGTACCTCAGTTCATCCACCACCCCCGCAATGAACCTCCTCCCCTCTCCCAACTCCATAGCTCCCACACCCGTCAACGCAACACCCCCACCACCCATAGCCGCCGCATCCAGAACATCCACACCAGCCCTCACCTTCGCCATCCGCACCTCCCTCAGCTCCTTCAACAGTCGCCTCGTCTGATCCGGATCCACTAGATCATCGCTCGCCGCCTCCAGCAACATCGTCCCTACCTCCAACCAATGGAACGGTAGTGCCGGCGGCTCCCCCGGCGGGATGTGATCGCGTGCTGTATTCTGAGGCAGAAACGGCGGTGCAGGGTAGTATTTCTCGCCGGAGGGGGTGTAGCGCGGTGTCGCGAGCGGAGCGCGACGGTGATCTCCTGGGGCAGGCTGGCCGGGCAGTGGAGGCGGCGGGGAGAAGGCGTGCTGGTATTCGTCGTTTTTTGTCTCGATTTCGAGGATGAGTTCGAGAGATTCGGGGTGGAGCCAGGGCGGGGGGAGGATGTTGGCGCGGCGTTGGCGTTTGAGGAGGAGGGCAAGCCAGAGGGGGAGGGAGGTGCGTCGGGGCGGGAGGAGGGGGGATACGGGGCCCTATTTGAGGAGGAGTTATTAGTTGTGATTAATAGCATAGGGTGATTGTATAAGACGTACTCCTAGTAATTCAAGCCCCTCGAGTCGCTGACGAGGCAAGATGGTGACCATCTCCATCTCCGCGAGGAAGGAGATCTCCGGGGGCGTGATGCCCCGCGGGAGGGGAAAGGCCATTGACCCTCACGTTTGCGCGTGGATTGGCCGGGGAAAAGGAGTTAGGGACGTGTCGGGGCAGTCGAAGAAGAGTATTCCATGCCCCGGAGTTACTTTGCGGACCGAATGAAAGAAGGGGAGCTTGAAGTTGTTCATTCAAATTCAATCGCGATGGGCGTCGATTGCCCGATGCGGTGTGTTTGTTCGGTTTGCATTGCAAGCTTGCATTTCCGTTTGTGTCTTTTAGATTAATTGATCTATTCTTCTTCTCCTGTTTCACACTTCAATTGTCAAGAGCATGGTTGAACTCCTGCTTAAGCATTGACCGACATGAATGCGCAACCCAAGTCGGGCGTGGCTTTGGCCGCCCGCTACGCCATTCCTTTTGTTCTGCTGTTGATCCCCTTTTGGATGATGAGGATCAATGCCGTCGTTCCCGAACCGTATCTGGATGAGGCCTTCCATGTCCCCCAGGCTCAGGCCTACTGGGACCATAAGTGGACGCATTGGGATCCCAAGATCACTACTCCCCCGGGTATTTACCTTTGGTCGTACGTGCTGTGCGCGATCGCGCTCTTCCTGCGCGGTTCCCCCACACAGCTTACCCCGGAAGCTTTGCGTGCGACCAACGTGGCAGCCACCGCCGTAGCTCTACCGTTGCGATTGCAGACATTGTTGGATCGGCTGCGCAGGGTGCGCAACACTCGTCCCTCTGGAGCATGGCTGAGCCATACTGTTCTGAACATCTGCCTCTTCCCGCCGCTGTTCTTCTTCTCCGGCCTATACTACACCGATATCCTTGCGCTGCTGGTGGTCATTGAGGCGTACAACTGGGACCTGAAACGCTCGTCGGAGGGTGGATTTGCGCCGCTCTCGACGTTGGTGTTTGTCGTGCTGGGGCTGGTAGCGCTGGCCTTCAGACAGACCAACATCTTCTGGGTGGCGATCTTCCTGGGTGGACTGCAGGTCGTCCGGCGGTTGAGGTTGTCTTCTAAGAGATGCGAGGCGTCGGGATTCGCGGATATTGCTCGGGCGGGGTGGAAAAATGAGCTGTATGATCCGTTTGTTTCGGACGCTTCGATTGAAGGTTAGTATTGTGTTTTTGGTGTGTTGATGGCATTGCTGACTGGGATAGACTACTTCAAGGCGTCTGTTTCGCTGGTGGTTGTTGCCCTGAACAACCTCGGCTCGGTGATTAGCTCTGCTATTCCGTACTTGCTTATACTTGCCGGGTTTGGTGGCTTCGTGCTGTGGAATGATGGTGTCGTTCTCGGTAGGTCTATTGGTCGTATTGTGAGTGCTAGGCTGACAGCTGCAGGACACAAGGAGTACCATACAGCTGGGCTGCATCTGCCCCAGATGCTCTACATCTGGCCCTACTTTGTCTTCTTTTCGTGGCCTCTTCTGCTCTCGCCGGTCGTCAACTTGGTTCTCCCGAAGTCGTATTTGCCCAAGTTTATCGACTTTGGTTTCCCGAAGAAGCAAAAGGGCCTTCCTAAGCTGTTGACGGCTCTTGTTGTGATCCCTATTATGCTGGCTGTTGTTCACTTCAACACCATCGTCCATCCGTTCACTCTGGCCGACAACCGTCACTACGTCTTTTACGTCTTCCGTATCCTGCTGCGCATTCACCCTGCTATCAAGTATGCTGCTGTCGCGGTGTACTTCCTCTGTGCGTGGATGGTCATCTCCGCCTTTGGATTCACGACGATTTCTACGCCTCCCCAGTTGATGCGTGTCCCGCAGACAGCAGCCCGCCAGCCGGAGCCAGTGCCAGTACCTCAGAAAGAGCCGAGCCAGAAGAAGGCCGAACGTCGGAAGGCAGCAAAGAAGCCCGCACAGTCGCCCAAGCCGGAGCCGATGTCGTTCGATGCGTACGCCAAGATCCAGGAGCACATTGCGCACCGGCAGAAGCAGCATCAGGGTACGCCGCAGGTGAGCTTTGTGCTTGTCTGGCTGGCGGCCACGGCGCTGTCGCTCATTACGGCGCCGCTCGTCGAGCCGCGCTACTTTATCATTCCGTGGGTGATGTGGCGGCTGCATCTGCCACCGCAGCCGACGCCTCTTGTGCACCGACAGCGGGCGCGCGATGCAACTGAGGAGCTGAACGCGAAGGTTGCCACGAACATGGCGCTGTTCCTGGAGACGTATTGGTTCTTGGTGATCAACGCGGTGACGGGATACATCTTCCTGTACTGCGGGTTTGAATGGCCCCAGGAACCGGGAAAGATTCAGCGGTTCATGTGGTAGACTTGTAAAAGCGTATAGTGTATAATAGTGTAGTAATAGTTATATATAGATCTGAATATTTTCGTGGTTGTGAAGCAAGCATTCTACGTATGATGTTAGCGATATCCAGATGTAACCGGTATGCTATCCGCCATCACCACATCTTCCTCACCACCTTCTCACCACACCTCAACCGCAACATGGAAGAACCAGACCGGCCAGCCAAAAGGGCAAAGATATCCGCCAATCAAGACAATACATATGATTCTAGCAACCAGAGAACCAACAGCAGCAGCAATGATAGTAACAACCACCCCCTAGCATCCCTGCACCGCTCCATAACACCCCCATTACTCTCCCGCTCCAAGGGACCAAAAACACCGCCACAACCACAACACAATGCTACCCACCCAGCATCACCCAGCACACAGACACCGACAAAAGAGAAAGATAGTAATACAAAGAAAGATAACACAATCCCCTCTCCCATCCAACTAACCCACATCCGGGACCTCCCCGCCTCTTCAGGTCACAACACCGACACTGTCCGACTGCGCGACATTCTCGGCGATCCATTAATCCGCGAGTGCTGGCAGTTCAATTACCTCTTTGATGTGGACTTTTTGATGAGCCAGTTCGATGAGGATGTGAGGCGGCTCGTCAAGGTGAAGGTTGTGCATGGCTCATGGAAGAGAGATGCCCCGAATCGTCAGAGGATTGATGTATGTCCACTGTCTTCATTGTTTTCCTTCCATATTGGCTATATTGGAAAATGTGATATATGGTGACGAGACTAATGACATGAATAGGAAGCATGTACGCGCCACCCCAACGTCGAGGCAATAACCGCCTACATGCCCGAAGCATTCGGGACGCATCATTCCAAAATGATGATCTTGTTGAGACATGATGATTTGGCTCAGTATGTATTTCCAATCCCCACCTATGAGTATAACCCAGCTAATGAATGAATACAGAGTGGTCATCCATACGGCAAACATGATCGCAGGCGACTGGGCAAATATGTGCCAGGCCGTGTGGCGATCTCCTCTTCTCCCATTATGTTCCAATGGAAGTGGGAGTGAGAGTATAGCTACCCCCGGGACACGATTCAAACGTGACCTTCTCTCTTATCTAAGAGAATACGGACCGAAGAAGACCGGTCCGCTTGTCGCGCAGCTAGAGAAACACGACTTCAGCGCTGTCCGTGCAGCATTGGTCGCTAGTGTGCCCTCGAAGCAGAAGATCCGGGAGTCGACTGATTCGACCCGGAAGACGCTGTGGGGATGGCTAGCTTTGAGGGATGTATTGCGGTCGGTGCCTGTTCCTCCTTCAGAGGATAGACCGCATATTGTAACTCAGGTAGGTTGAGTACCATCACTGGCACTGCCTACGGAATATCTACTAACGAGGTATAGATATCCTCCGTCGCCTCTCTCGGCCAAACAGACAAATGGCTCAAAGACGTCTTTTTCGCGTCCCTCTCACCATCATCAAATACCCCCAAACCCAAATTCTCGATCATATTCCCTACACCCGACGAAATCCGCCGCTCCTTGAACGGCTACGGCTCCGGCGGTTCCATCCACATGAAGCTGCAGAGCGCAGCGCAACAGAAACAGCTACAGTACATGCGGCCGTATCTGTGCCATTGGGCGGGGGATGTTGCCGAGGACGAGGTGAAGGTGAAAAGAGAAGCAGGGCGTCGTCGCGCGGCACCGCATATCAAAACGTATATCCGGTACTCGTCGTCGGAGATGGACCGGATTGATTGGGCGATGGTGACGTCGGCAAATTTGTCAACGCAGGCATGGGGAGCGGCGGTGAATGCTAACGGGGAGGTGAGAATATGTAGTTGGGAGATAGGGGTTGTGGTTTGGCCGGAGTTAGTCGCCGGTGCTGAGGGGAGGAGTGTGATGGTGCCTTGCTTCCGGAGGGATGTGCCCGATGCAGAAGCGGTTGCGGCTGCAGGTGCGGCTGCAAAGGAAATACCTACTACGACTACAGTTGGCTTTCGAATGCCCTACGACCTACCGTTGACGAGGTACAGCGAGACGGATATACCCTGGTGCGCGACGGCCAGTCATAGCGAGCCGGACTGGCTGGGACAGACGTGGGAGGGTTGACCTTTCCATATAGTACCAGTCATACCAATATAAACACCCAAAGAATGAATAATGACTATGCAAGCAGCTCAATAGCCAGTAAGTTAATTGAGTAGTAAATAGCTCATAACTCATCTCATCTTGCTAATAGACAATGCATCCACCACATGATACCCCCTTTCATATATGATCTTGTAGGTTTATTATAACAATCTACTCCCTCGTTCCGATCGTTCCAATCAGGGTGTCAACCTGCTTGATGTACTCGGCCTGGGCCTTGGCCTCGCTGATATCCTTGATTTCCTTCCATGCGTTGTACTTGTACTTGCCCTATACCATCATACAAGACATATTAGTCTCATGCTTATACAGAGAAAGGGAGAGATAGAGAGATGATAGAAGTAAATAAAGACATACCTGGATATCGAACATGCCAGGAGAAGCAGGAGTCTGGTTGTTGGCGCGCTTGAAGTACTTGTAGAGCTACACAGAGAACAAAGACATTAGCATCATCTTTCTCTGATTCATTCCCCTTCCTCAAAGGGTAAATCAATCGATAGATGAAGGGAGCGGGGGATGTACTCACCGCCAACTTATCCTCATTACCAGGCTCCGAGTTCAGCATCTTAACGACAGCAACAGCGAACTCGAAAGCGTTCTTCAGGGCAACAGCCAGCTCGCCATCAACGGAGGCGGTGTCATCACCACCCAGGACGGTCTCGATGGCGGCGAAGAAGGCGGAGCTGTCGACCTTGGCAGCGGCGGCCTGGACCTCGGGGGTGAACTTCTCCTTCTTGATGGAGGCGTCGAGGGCGGCGGAGAAGTTGGGGACGGACATTTTGGCTGTGTGGGTTTGTTTGGTGGGTAGTGTTGATGGAGTTTGGGTTTGGAGGAAAGTTGGAGTTGGGGTTGGAGGGGTAGTAGGTAAATATGGCGGATGAAGAGGGGAAGAAGAATGAGTGAGTTGAGGGAAAGTGGGGGGGGATTTGTTGATTTGGTGGGGGGAGCTGTGCTCGGCGGGTTATTGGTTGGGTTTAGTTATGGATACTCCTCAGGTGACTACTAACTTATACTACTGAGTATTATTTGACTATTTGCTGATCATTGAAATAGTATGGGATTTTGTTTTTATGTGTTTATTGTCTGATTTGTTGCATTTGTTTTGGTGGTTACATGATGGGATGTTGTTGGCTCAACTGTTGAGTGCCAGGGTTTCTGGATATGTTATGGATGTGAGCTTTGGTGTATAACAATTACATAGCTTAGCATTGAAGGTCTTTTTTGCTGGTAGCAGAGATTCATGCTACTTAATAACAGAATATCTAGCTCTATACAACTTCCCCTATTCTTATTCTGTTCGTCTTCATGCTTAAATGCCATCTCTCAATGCACTCCAGCAAGGTCACTACGAGCGATGGATCATCTATGCCAACTGCTCTGCGGGCTAGGTAAGGGATCCTCCATTCATTGCTCTGAACTTCACTCAGTATTAACTAGATGCCCTTGGAAAGTCCCGGACAATGCTCACTAAATACCTCCGCGGACTCGCCTTGTCTGGATGCAACGTCACCCTCGATAAACCCCAGCTGTTTATGGATGACTTTATGAATCAGCGAACTCGGACATATGCTCGACATGGTCGAAGGAACAGCTCCCAGTTAATGAGAAAAGTACATTCCAAAGTCTGCTGTCGATTCCATGAACCAAATCACTCGTACTTACGAGGTATGCCGTCTGCCATTACTATGTCATTTACTGCTTCTAACCTCGCAGCAGGATTGCCTCAGTCTCCTGGAAACACGCAGACGTCGTGACCGACCAAGGACAAATCCTTCTGTACAAACAGAGAAAAGCCCAGCAAATGTCACTACAACTGTGCGAGGTATTCCATGTCTGTATGGAATGAGCGAGTGGCTACAGACTCTCGGACATCCGGTAGGTTCTCTACTTGTTACAGAGAGAATGGGCTTACTTACAAGATACAGGAAGCCGATATATCCCGTCTAAACATAATCCACGTCACCGGAACCAAAGGCAAAGGCAGCACATGCGAGTTCACCCGTTCTATTCTCCATGCACATGGTTCGAGGACAGGCTTCCCCAGTAAAATCGGTCTCTACACATCACCTCATATACAATGCATCCGAGAAAGAATCCAAATTAACAACAATCCCGTGACCGAGAACCTCTTCTCAAAATATTTCTTCGAAGTCTGGGATACGCTTATGAATACCAACATCCAAAACGCAGACACAACACAGCGACCACCTCGCTACCTGCAATTTCTCGCCCTGCTCGCTTTCCATACCTTCATCCGAGAGAACGTCGACGCTGCAATAATCGAAGTCCACCATGGTGGTGAATTTGACGCTACGAACGTCATCCAGAACCCCGTGGTCACCGGTATCACTTCCCTAGGACTGGACCACCTTGATCAGCTCGGCCCTACAGTCGAATCCATTGCATGGCATAAATCGGGGATTTTCAAACCAGGTGCACCTGCATTTTCTCTTCCACAGGAAGATAGTCCTTCTAGGGTCCTGCACGCTCGTGCCGCGGAGAAGAATACTTCATTGACTATCGTCCCGCTGAACCCTAATCTCCCCACTGAGAGTAGTGTATTGGGGATTCCTGTCCAGCAACTAAACTGCTCCCTCGCCCTCGAGCTAGCCAGGACATCCTTGAAAGCCAAAGCACCCGACCATGTCATCGAGTCCGCGGACATATCCACTGCCCTGAGAGATATCTCCCTAATCGGAAGATTCGAGATCATCGATGACCCAGACGGACAATCGCAGTGGTTCGTGGACGGCGCACACAACACGCTTAGCCTTGAGAAAACGGCGGAGTGGTTCTCAGATATTACCAAGAGTCCTGCGGAGCAAACGTCAGTATATTCCCTATCCAGTAAAGCAAAGGAACCAATAAACTTACACCAAGTGAATTATCAGAAACCGAATCCTAATATTCAGCCACTTCTCCAAAGACCGAGACGGCCTAGCTCTTCTAGAATGCTTAGCAGAATCTCTCTCCGAGCGAGATGCACTGCCGGACCATGTTATCTTCACTACTTACATTGAACGAGCAGACAAATCTCAAACTGAAAAGATGGATAAAGGTGAGGATTATTTTATCTTCTCTACCTCAATACTCACTAACCAGAGATATAATAAAATGAAAGATATACTCCCCACAACCCTCCCAGATCTCAGCGTGCTATCTTTATTCGCTGAGAAATGGAAAGCTACTGTTCCCCGAGGCACGAATTCAGTCTCGACTAAGGAGACCATTCAAGAGGCAATTGAGACAGCAAGGAGTATCGGTGCACAACAGGATGGTAAAGCGCAGGTCTTGATTACGGGGTGTTTCTTGTTGGTTGGCGGGGCGCTGAATATATTGCGTCGTTCGTGAGACATATTTATCGGTGTCAGTACTACCGAAGCATCATACTACTAGTTACTAGATTCCACAATGTGGCTATTAATAACCTGAGATAGTGAATTGTCACTTTTAGGCATGTAGTCCCTCAGTGGATACATTGACCTTGAATGAAGCTCCTAAGTATTGACTATTGTCCGTTTGTCTGTCTGGCGTTGACACAGCATGTTAGGCTTGGAACAGACGAAGACTGGCAGTCAATAATGGATATATGAAAGGTGACCTTCCAACTAGGAAGACTAGGCATACAGACACGTACAGTAATTCATCATCTGTCAAATGGAATATGGAATAACTAGTATACACTGTATTACTCTAAAGCGTAGTATACAAGCATATGTCCTGTTAATGGTATCAAGTAGTCTATTACCAACGCCATGCTAATCATACTATTTGTGCAATCAATCACCAATCCACCGCCCACCCATTCTTATCCAAGAACTCCTCACACGCGGCCTTCAACGCATAATTCGGCCGAAGATCGTTCACCGTCATCGGCACCCGCGTGATGGGATCAACCTTGGCCTGCTCCACGTACTTGGTGATGCCAACCCGGTCAAAGCTGGTCCCCGAAGGTGTAATAACAGGGTCATGCATAATCTCAAATGTAATTCCATCCACCAGATAATCAGGCACAACCTACACCATATCATCAGCACAACCCACCAGCAACTCACAGAAGGAACTTCAAAAAAACTTACCCTCTCAGCCACCTTCCCCTCCGACGCAATCCCAAACACCTCCCTCACCCTCTGCACCTTCCGTTCAGCATCCTCTCTAATCTCCCTCTCATCCTCCCTAAATCCAATATTCCCAATCTCCCCCTTCTCCAACCGCGCCTTCAACTCCGACACCCCTCTCTCCACCTCCGCCTCAATCAGCCCCTCCACACTCGCCAACGTCTCATCCAACTCCCTTATCCGCGCCGTCTCCTTGGCCGCCCAAATCGCCTGCTTAGCGCGCAACACTGTCCGCGACAAATTCTCCGTCTGAATGTTCTTCGCCGCCAGACTCGCCTTATACGCCTCAATGGCTACGTCGTATGCTTCCTGAGGCCGTTGCAGGCCTAACAGCGCTTGTGCCAGGTACCAGGAGGATTTCAAACTGGTGGGGGATTTGGCACCGTAGAGATCGATGGCGGCGCGGGCGTCGTGCTCGACTCCGGCCCAGTTTTCGAGTCGGATGCGGGTCAGGGCGCGGTTGGAGAAGAAGGTGGGTTCTTTGGGATTTTTGAGGATTCTATTTGTTGTAGATATCCATTGGTTTTTAGTAGGAGTTCTTAGATTTATTGCGTTGAGGGGTGGATGTGTATAGCGGGGTAAGTGGGATTTATGCTCACGCTTGTGAATACATCTCCTCCGCGCCATTGTAATCGCCTTCTTTAAAGAGCTGGTTGCCCTTTTCTTTTAGTTCGAGAGCCATGTTCGCTGTGATGTGAGGTGTGGTGTTGTGTGCGCTGATGTGTTGTGTGCGCACACTGATTGGTGCTGTAAATGACAACGGGGTTCTCCCCTTTTTTGTTTCCGTGACGATTGTGTTTTGTCAGCTGGAAAGAACGAACGAAGGAACGAACGAAGAAACAACGCCTCGGATGTCGGATGTGTGGGGCTGCGCAGTGATCTCCACTGTTGTTGGTGAAGTAGATGGTGACTGGATGTGCTAGGGATTCTATCCGTTCTGTCTAGCGGATAGTGGATGTGGAGTGGATTTCAATGCAGTGGGATGATTGATGATAGTAGCAATGGAGGTTTGATGCTGTGAGAGCATGGAAATTCTGGCCAATTCCACGAGTATAAGTATCCAGGTAAGTAGTACTATTGTTCAGCTACCCCTCTTGGGACCTGAGATCCTTGCGGGGAATTCAGTCAGGAATGAAATTGATGAGCTCGGGTGAGCTTTCAGTCGTGATCCACACAGCCCTGGTGTCGGGACGGCACGTTGGGTTCTCCATCTTCATCAATTGAATGTTCGATTTTATGCCTGTTCCTGTGCAGTGGAAAAAGACGTGGGTTGAGCAATCGAAGGTGATCGATCCCCGCAGAATCCAGATGAGTCAGCAATTGTGTGTGGGCAGCAAATGTTGGGGAGAGAGAGTTAGCAATTGCATTGCATTGCCATACTGGGTATGTGGTAGAGTTACTCGATTGACTACAATGAATCTTGTGGTATAGACAACAGTCTACAAATAGAAGACATTTGGAGCAATGTAGTATATTCTCTACCTACTGCTCTAATGAAAGATTGGCCGGCCAAATCATTCCGTACACTCGTGGTATCGTTGACTCGTCGGATATTAGAAGGGAAAGGCCCGGATCCAGCCGTACCAGATCGCTTCGCTCGAAAATAAGTGGTGAAAGGAAGCTATAGTTTATAGTAACACGCCGGAGATTATGGCGCTGCCGCTGCCACTTCGGTGTGGCTGGTGCTCATGTCATGCCGCACGGACAAGGAACATCGTAGTACTGATGGATTGACTGGGTTGACTGACTGACAGACAGATCCAAATTAAGCAGTACCAGCGAGTTCCTTCTCGTAGTCGGAGATGGCCTGCACCTTGGCGGCGGAGGCACTCTTGGGGTCGAAGCGGTAGGTCACCCACTCGTTGGCGAGCTTCTTCGCAAGCTCAATGCCAATGACCCGCTGGCCAAAGCAGAGCACCTGAGCGTCGTTGCTGAGGATGGAGCGCTCGACGGAGAAGGAGTCGTGTGCTGTCACGGCGCGAATGCCGGGCACCTTGTTGGCGGAGATAGCGACACCGAGACCAGTACCGCAGATGAAGAGACCACGGTCTGCCTTGCCCTCCTTGATGAGTTTGGCACCAGCGACAGCCGGGTGAGGGTAAGCAGTCTTGTCGGAGGTGGAGTTGACGCCCACGTCTTGGATGGACTCAACCAGAGGGTTCTTCTCAAGAGCAGCCTTCAGGGTCTCCTTGTAGGGCTGGCCGGCCTCATCGCAGGCCATGACGATGCGGAGGGGCTTCAGATCGGCAGACATGGTGAAGAGTGTGGTAAGGAGGTAGAGGAATTCAAGGAAGTATTGGTATGAGTGGAGCGTGATGTCCTAGACAAGTGACTGTGGCTTGGAGTGGATAGAAATGATGATGGAATAGTGATGAAAGAGAGGGTTGAAGATGGTAGACAAGGACCTTTTTATACCTTTTTGTCCAGCTCACCTTCTGCCTCTCCCCTCCTATTGTCCCCCTCCATTCTCCGAAGTACTTTCCGATCGAAAGGTCCGATGCAGTGGGGAGAGAAAGGCCGTGCCGTGCCTCCTGGACCCAAAGTTCGGTGGTAGACGCCAATTCGGTTTGGCGACACGCATGTCCCAATGGCCGTTACGAACCAGCACTGATTATCCCTCATGCTTTTTTCTCATGCTTCATGCGCGACAGCAGCGATAGACACTAGTTTCGCACCCCCCACAGCTAGAGGCGATCCAGAGAAGCCGGTTTTGGGCCGGACCATGTTTGGTTCTGGCAGCTCCACTCATGGCGTCATGCATTCTTACATTTCTCAAAGGTTGTTTTGCTGCGACTGCCTGCAAGCGGAACCAATAGCATTGAGTCCGGATTGGCGAACCCTTTCGGACAGATTAGGAGGATATTCAGCCAGTGACAGCCATACTGGTATGACTGTCTACAGTACCGACTATCACATACTGAATACTGTTACTGTGATATCTTCTCTTCCGATTTAATCTCTACGGTGAAGTTCACCGGGAATAGTTCCATCCCGCTCAGCCGAATGATGTCAGCCCGCCCTTTGTTCTCCTCCTTTTTCTTCTTCCCTTTCGGTTCTGTTGCATCGCCATTCGGAACCGACTCCAGATTGCCCCGGGATTCTCCTCCATCCTTCCCCCTTGTTGGATGTCTTGGAAGTCTGGTAACTGGTCAGGTCCGCGGCCAAGCTAACCGGGTTGGGGGAGAGGGGGAACTGCACGCCCGCGCACTATTATCGGCCTACTTGGCCTATTCAGGAAGCCTATACAGGCATTCTTTGGCGCGGATTCAGATTTCTCTGGGCAACTGCCCAATACATAGAAGTATACCGAGATGAAGAAGAGGGGGCGGGAATGAGTGTGGGCTCATCCGGGATAGCATCGGTGTCGTATTAGTTCCGAGGCACCTTAGCTCGGAGTGAGTTGCAATCGATTCTGTGATAAACTTGGGATTGACAGTAGACTATCTTAGACGAAGATAGGATACTGAACTCACAGCAACAGCAACGGCATGTATACTTCCCTTGTCACTGGGGTAACAAGTCGAAGGAATTCTCCATTGATCTGAGCATGGCTCATGTGGCATACACATAGGAGGCTCAATCTCAGCCTTTCTATCATCTTGTATACTAATTATGCCGTTGTTGTCGCAGGATTATTCTGGGGTTGACGGGCCACAGCAGACAGCGAACAGCAAGTGGAGGATCCCGTCCGTATCAAAGCGCATGGCTATTAGCCTGTTACAGATAGTCTAATCCAAACCAGTCAGTTCACGGGAAGAAAATAGAACTAATTTTCCTCCCAAGTAAGTAAGCGCAATTAGCTGGTTGACTTTCAAATGGTGGCAGTTCAGTTTGCGCCATTGACGCGTTCCAACGTCCAAACTTGAGAAGCACCAATTTTTGGCTGTTGCTCTGCCTTGTTCTCTCACCATCCACGCACCGCAATCAACTCTCAAATGTTGTCTCTTTTGAGCGATTAATACAGACCATACATACCTCGAGTAATGTTGTTCTTTGCAAGATACTCAAAACAGTCCAGGCTGGGCTCTCGGAATTCCAAACGAGGTTACAACTGCACGCCCCACCACTTCCCACCATCCCCACTCGACTAGTGTTTTACTGGCTTCTGATAGGACTTTGGCTACTATTGGTGGCCCGCTGACGTCCGATCGATGGAAAGTGACAAGTCATACCGTTTCCAGGGGATCCAGAAACCCCCGGGTAACTTACTGTATCACGGAAACCGATGAGGTCTAAGCGGACCAGTCGGAAGCTGTCTTTGGGGACAACTTCATTTCCGGTCGATTCTGTATCTTTCCATTCTATGTCTCAATCAGGCAGGCTCTGCTGTCCTGCAAGCCGAGATTCTTGCGTGTGTTTTGGTTTCCCTCGCCCGACTCGCGTTATTCCCACCTCATTCAAGCCTCTCTCTAATGTGCAGAGTGGCTTGCACCCCTCGTACTTTCTTCCTCCCCTACTGTTAATTACCCCTTTCCGACAACATCTGATAGAGTATCAAGGTTCTTAAAATACCACACTAATCACCCGCCATTCCCCAGGTTTCCCACGCCTGTGCTGACCTCAGCGGATGGAGATGGCAGATGCACCTCGCGTGGGCCGATCATCGTGTCTCCTCTTTTTCCCTCCTAACACTAAACTGTGAAGGGGATACCGGTTGCATGCTAAACTAGGCCCCAATGAAATTGTCCGCGGCACAGCATGGCTACTAATTCCGTGGTCGACTGATTGGCACCGCCCCTCATCACCTCCGTTGTCTCCTCCTGAGCTATTTCTGTTACGCTAATCCAGCCTCTCTCGATTCTAACGCTTTCTATCGAATCTCAGACCCAGCAGCCATCACACAATATCCTTCCCCATCAAGTTCATCATCACACTACTCTACGCTCGAGTGGGTGCCCTCATTATCATAGTGGAGCTTAGTAGTCTCAGGTTTCAGACAACTAACCTCGTTGGCCAGTCTATACCAGTGGAGACCGGTTGATCGTGTTCTGATTGCTACGGAAATCACTTTCGAGGACCGTCATTCATCGGTCCCATTCCATCATTACACCGGTGCATCAAGTCACCCAACATGGCGTCCCAGCAAGCCTATCCGGTTCTTCCAAAGAACCTGCTCATCATCTCGTTGAAGATGTACTTCACACCAACCCGTACGCTGGACTACTGCCGTGCTCTGCTCGACCCCAAGAATGATATCGTCCGCCCGGAGAACCGTTCGAAGCTGTTGCTGGCCCTCATCCCCGACTTCCTGACTGTCTACCCCTGTGCGGAGATTATCAAGGCGTGGGAATCCACTCTACCGAAGGATGACACCCCTTCACTGCCGGCTCCATTCCTGCTTGGGGCTCAGGATTGCTTCTGGGAGCCCCTCGGCGCCTACACCGGAGAAGTTTCGCCGCTGGCGCTCCGCTCGATGGGGGTGTCCATCGTCGAACTTGGTCACGCAGAACGCCGCGCCATCTTTGGCGAGACAGATAACCAGACTGGCCTCAAAGCTGCTGCTGCATGCGCACAAGGTATGGTTCCGCTGGTCTGCATTGGAGAGGTCACTGCTCCCGGTCCCATTGCCTCGCAAGCCATCGGGCAGGCCGTCAGCGAATGCGAGGTCCAGATCCGGGCTGTCCTCCAGGCCATCCCGGCGGAGGCACCAGTCATCTTTGCCTACGAACCAGTGTGGGCAATTGGGAAGCCCGCTCCGGCGGGTGTAGATCACATATCGGCGGTGGTCGAGGGCATCAAGGCGGTGATTGGCACCCGCGTGGGGGACGTCCGGATCTTGTACGGGGGGAGTGCCGGACCGGGGCTGTGGGGCCCGGGCGGTCTGGGGAAGGCCGTCGACGGCATGTTCCTGGGCCGATTCGCCCACGAAGTCGACGGGGTCCGCAAGGTGGTCAGGGAGGTTGAGGAGACGTTGGCTTGATCATCGGTCTGCTGCTCCGGCAGATGCAGGCTCGGGTTACGCTCTCGGACGAGACCAAAACACAAAACCAAACATAGTACATCATGAACCACACTACTAGTGTCTACTACTGCTAGATGTGGGGGAAGAATGGGCATCACGCGGAAGAACAGAGAATTTTAGACTGCTAGCAGCCCCTTTCCAAGACCTTGTGTGATATCCACCATCGTCGGGTATCCTGTTCAGGCAAACCCGAGCAGTATCCATCGTTTAAGCCATCGTTTCCTTCCATGGAGGAATGGGATCTCGAAACAGGCAATGCCGACTTGATCCATCTCCCGAGTGGGATGGATTCATGGATGATTGTGGATCACAACCGAGTCGGTGAAGAGCTTCTCGAAGCTTGCGGGATCTCCGCTCCCAGCGATCTAGGCCCAGATGGATTCCTGCCCGCTCGAGTCCGCGTGAGGTTGAAGAAAATTTCGGCGGGCTGCATGACCAGCTTGTCTTCCCCTCCATTCCGCTGCACGTGTGACATTTGCGGCCACCTGACCCGACCAGGGGGCCCACTTTATCTGATCGCTTAATGCCAACCCGGTCGGTAGTTTAAATCTAATTTTATTTGGGGAAGCTTGAACTGGCAAGCCCCGTGTGCCAGCTTGGTCTAGATCCTGGAAGGGGCTGAAGATGGTCTATTTTCGGTGAGGGTTTAGGGGTCAGGGGCTTGGTGTGCTGTTCATGGCTGCTGTATGAGAATGAACAGAATGATGATGATGTGGCATTCATGCGCCTCAGGGTAGAGGCACTAATTGCTGCCAGATTATCGAGGCACAGGGTCGTTCACGTCATCCGCTGCATAGCTACCTAGTCAACTAGTTAGCTTATGCAGCAGCAGCAGCAGCAGCAGCAGCAGCAGCAGTAGCTAGGTATTTGCTCAGAAATACTAACTATAGTGACTAACCCTTATCGACAGTTGAAGCTATCGTTCGTCTGGAGGATTTACCCTACCTCTACTGACTTGCAACATTGACGTACTAACAGGAACAGTCACAGCAAACCACTTTACCTGCCTTCAGCTAACCTGTGTCAAACTTACCTCTTGACAGTATATGTCGATATTCTGCCATAATTACTCAATACAAAATAGGCTCTGTGAAACTCCCAGATGTTACTAGCAATGAAAAGATAGAAATACTCTTATTCTTCTATTTACAATATCACGTCCTCCCTAATCTACGCCTACCTACTGAACCACCACCCATCCCAACCAACCCGGTCGCTCCTTTTAAAATTCACACATCTAGTACTTAGCTACCAGCTTACCTCCTCTCTACTTCTTCTCCTTCATCTCCTCCTTCACCCTCGTCACCGTCCCCAACCCTCCATACGTAATAGCCGTATACATCATCGCAACCGAAGCCCCCGCATCAAGGACCTTCCTCGCCTGCTCACCATTCGTCACACCCCCCGATGCAAAGATAACCTTCCTAGCAGGCAATCCCTCGACAGCTTCACTCACAGTAGGAGGCACATTCTCCACATCCGGCTCCGCCGCCTCGATCGCCTTAGGCGCAGCAGCAGCAGCAGCAGCAGCAGAAGCAGGAGCACTAGCATCCAACAAACTCTTATACTTCGCCACCAGCTTCACCGTACGATCAAACAACTGCGGACCAGAGAACCCACCCGTCTCCTTCAGAACATCCTGCTCCTTGCTGGGCAGAGTAAATCCCTTCGGCAACGGCTCCGGACGCCGATTCGTGGTGTTACCCACGATCACACCATCAACACCGGACCCCCACACTGCGTCACAGATACCAGAGACTTGCTCGTCCGCGTCCTCGTCGGGACTAACCTTGACCATGACGAAGGGCTTGGTCTTGCGATCGATGCTCTTCGCTGCGCCGACAACGGCCTTCAGAATGGCAGTGAGAGGCGCCGTGGCTTGCAAGTCGCGGAGACCAGGGGTGTTAGGGCTGGAGACGTTGACGACCAGGATATCGGCGTACTTGGCGAGACGGTCAACGCAGTAGACGTAGTCGCGCTTGATGGCTTCGATGTCGTTATCCGGCGTGAGCTTGTTCTTGGCGACTTGCACGGCCAGCAGCTTGCCTTCGCGGAGACTTCCTGGGGGCACGCCGGCTTCGCCGTTCAGGACCCGTTGTTCGGCCAGTTCGTGCTCGCCGAAGCCGTGCGCGTAGGCGTAGTCGCGCACGCGCTGTTCAAGAACTGCCGCCATGTGGTCGGCGCCCTTGGAGTTGAGGCCGTAGCGGTTGATCATGGCGTTCTGGGACGGGAGGCGGAAGACTCGTGGGCGGGGGTTGCCTTCTTGGGGGAGGGGGGTAGTGCCGCCAACTTCGACGATGGCGGGGCCGAGTTCGAATAGAGGGTCGGGGATGTCGGCGTGCTTGTCGAGGCCGCCAGAGATGCCGATCGGGTTGGAGAGGGTGTAGCCGAAGACCTGCGGTGGTGGGTGAGTATGGGGGTGAGGTTGGGAGGGATGGGGGAGGGGGAGTATACCTCAGTTAGGAGAGCACCATCGCTGTCGGGGTCGCCACGCTCGCGCGGGTTCAGACCGTACTTGTAGAGGGTCTTCAGGATGTCCACGCCGAAGTGGTGCGCGTCTTCGGCGTCGGGGAAGAGCAGGCGGACGAGAGGGACCACGCCGTACCGGTGCACGCTGGCGCGGGTGTCCGTTCCGTAAATGAATCCGGCGAGGAGAGTCAGGGCCAGGGAGGTACCCCAGATGGTGCGCTTGAGCTTGCGGCCGGTCTTCTTGGGGGCTTCCTTCACGGTTTCTGTGACCTGTGCGGTGGTCTCCTTGGCTGCTTCTTTGGTCTGGGATGCTGCGTCCGAGGAGTAGCGAACTTGACGGAGGAGAGACTCCCGGTGGAGGATTGAGGGACGCTGAGTAGCGCGGAGAGAGTGGAGTGCAGGTGCTCTGCGGCCTGCGGATCTCCAGGCCAGAGCCACTGCGTTGGTAGCCATTGTGGTGGGGTGGAGTCTAGTGATGGTGACTGTGAGGGGTAGGGCGATTGACCTGGAAATTTGTCAGTTTAGGTGTGTTCGAAAGCATGAAAAGTATGTAGGTAGTCAATCGCAATTGGGTCTTGAAGCACTAGCATATGCTGGTCAAGACTATGTCTTGATATAATTGCTATGCCGAAGAACAGCCGATTCGATGGATCAGGGCAGCGACTCACCATTCAATGTCAGTCAATTGCAGGTCAATTCCACCAAACTAGCGAAACAGCAGCCACAGATGCCGCAATTACGCCGCCAGGTCGAGCAAAGACAAAGCTGCCGGAGTGGATGGACGTTGCTGCGAGCGTCTTGGATATCCGGTTCTTTTGCGTCAACGTCCCGAGGCGGTCAAGTGTTTAGCCGGCAGAACTAACAAGGCGGGCGGTGTAGCATGAGAACTAAGACAAACGGAGCATGTTCTTCGTGCAGGATCATAGATTGTTGACTAGTATTTACGGGATGTACATCAATCGCCGGGGCAGCCTGTTTCTGTGCATTTGCACGGCCGCAACAATGAAAAAGAACCAAACTCTCGCTACGTAACTCCAGATGATCATGCCACACAACGCCTTTTGCTGCCTCGACTCCGATACCTGCCAACCAGCCCATCAATGCGACTGGCAGCGCGGACCCCTTTCGGAGACGGCCATGCAATGTGAACAAGTCCAAGGAACATTAGCATAATGACAAATGAAAGGGTATGTAAACTGTAATGCATAGGCAAAAGTTACACTCAGGAAGGCATGCCTGCCGCCGTCATTGCGCCCAGAGGATGCAATATGATAGAAGGCCGAGCCAGTTACTCGTCGCTATCATTGCCAGCATCGTCATGCGCGTCTTCAGGCGAGGCCTGACGGTCGACGTCGTGCTCGCCTTCATCTTCCTCATGCTTGGCTGGTTCGGCATCGTTCTCCGGGTTCTCAGGGGGTGGAGGCATCGACTCGGCAAACTTCGGGTCAATGGCGGCCCTGTGCAGAGAGCGCTTGTAGACTTCTGCCTCGTCGGGATCGCGCACCACCACTTGGATCTGATCGACCTGATCCTCCTTGGTCTTCGGACGGGTAGGTGCCAGACCAGCCTGGGCGATGGTGCGGGCTCTCTCAGGCTTGAGACGGGTCTTTCCGAGAATGGGATAGTAGTACGCAGCCCTTTGCCTCGAGTCGAGACCGTCGCGCTTTCCATCCTTCACTTCCTCCGGGTCAAAGAGCGTCAACGCGATGTCCTTTTGCTTCTGATCGTTGCCCAAAGTCTGAGCGCTCGTAGCGTAGGTGCGGACACGGTCGAAGCGGTGGAACTTGGTATTGTCGGCTCCATCATGAGTGTACAGCGCCTCATTATCGCGGTCCGGGTTGGTGATCCGCAGACTTGCCGAAACATTCTTGGCCGCATCCTTCTTCTCAGGCAAATACAGATCGTAATCCCAGGGGATAGGACCTGGGTCAGGGTACAGGTTGGGGTTCGTCTTATACAAGGCCGCCTTCGTGTTGTGCTCTTGGCAAACGCGTTCCTCTGGTGCCGATGGAAGCAATATGGCCACATCCATGCGCTTGTCTCTCTTCCCTGAAACATCCTGAACAGGCGCCTTGTCAAACTTGAATTGGACAAAACCACCAGGGTCCGGGAATCCTTCCAGATCGGGGAGGAGCGGATAGAATCCGACAGGCTTCAGCTTAGGGTTATCAGGGTGCACTGGGTGGGCCCATGCATCGTGTTCAAGCTTCGTAGGAGTGTGGCCTTTAATCTTGCTAGCTGTATCTTCACCGACGTGCTTGCTGTGAGGATACGCAATATCGAAACCTTTCTGGAGGTATTTCTTGATGTAGGTAGGGTCATCCTGCGACTTGGTTTTGTCCATCCCGCGCTTCGTCCGGATGGGAGCGACCTTAGGGCCATCAGGCGCCCGAAGACCGGCGGAAATATATTGCGTACGGCGAAGGAAACTGACGTTGGTATTCTTCGGTGCCGGGTTCTTCAGCTGCTCCGGCGTCATCAGAAGCGCCAAATCAGCCTGGTCAATGGGTTCCGGGTTCTCAGGAGCCATAATCGCTGGATTTCCAACGATTGTTAGCCGCCAATTTGAAAAAATTCAGTTCATACAAGCCGAAATACATACCGCTCTCATCACCCAGGTGAAGCCCGGGAATACCGACCAAGTCAATTGGCATACCACCTTCCGCGTCAACATCAATGTTAGGTTCCTCGCGGCGAGCCAGATTGGAGGCAAAACCCGGAGTCAAAAAACGGTCCAAGCCCTCATGTGGAATATCGAGGAACTTCGGGGGCATATCCGGAGGCGGCAGGTCATTTCGGTAGCGGAGAGAAGCAATGTACTCCTGGTGAAAGCCCCCGGAGGAGCTGCTGTCCTTGGATTTCGACATGCTCGCTCGGAACTCAGAGAGCACCAATTCCTTTGGTTCAGCGTCGTCAGAGGAAGGTGAACTGTACACTGTAACACACTTTAGTGGAGCTCCCAACTTGCGCGCGCGGCGACAGCTCGTTGAAACTTACGTGGCTCTGGGAGGGTAAGCGGGGGAATCTCAGAGGTAGGCACAAGATAACCAGGAGTTCTCCGGGGCCGACGAGTCACTATAAACTCCCTGGGAGCTTAAGGAGGCGATAACGCAGTCAGTGAGCACCGACAAACAGTATGCACGGTTGCGAGCATCGAGATGCAGGATAAACTTACATGGGGGTGGCCGGCTCATTTCTGCAGTATTTTACCGCCTGACTAGCAAAGTTAGCGTGAGTCAACGTGAATGAAGGTTCGGAGAAAGGATGCTCCGAGCATGCAGGCAGTTAGTAGTTCGATTGCAGTCTTAAAGGAGGAGGTGTGAATCTTGTATCATACTACAGAACGTTCCATTCACTTGTCATTATTCGTATTTGATGCCTGTAACTCTAGGCTGCAGGACATGTGTGGATCAAACAGAAAGCTAGCTTGAAATTCAATAGAGTTACAAATTTGTGTCAGTGTTCCCGTGTCATACCAACACCACCTTTCAGATCAGGGATAGCCATAGCCCTCTGGGAACGACAGCTGATCAGTAAGCCCACATGCACTTGTATGCCATGAGCCTATGTCCCAATCGGTCGTACTCCAGCTGTCCGATCCAACTATCATTCGTTCCGCTCAGCTTGCCGAAGACACTCGCTCCCTTCCAGACAACAACTTGCGGATCAAGGTCTCGCGGCGGTGTACCAATCATGATCTCCTTAGCGAAAGCTGGTCGCAGAGCCTGTAGACGCTCCTCTAGGAACGAGTGGAATCCATTGACCAAGCTTCCGCCTCCAACCACCATGATACCGCCGAGGAAATCTCGCATTTTACGCTCATCCGATCGAGCTGCCTGAGCGATAGAGGTCAAGATCGCATTGTCCAGAGGGTATACGGGAAGAATGTCGTCCCTCTCTTCAACAGTGGGTCCACGGGGCTGCGACGTGCTCTGGCCTTGTCCGCTCGGGGCAGGGGTAGCAGCGCCGGCCTGAGGTGTACCGACTGCTTCCGGCGCAGGGGAGCCAGCGACTGAAGATCGTGGAGTTGCTTCAAGCTCTTGCACGCGACTAAGGGCATTGAACTGCTGGGCCCGGCTGGGGGTAGCCTGAACGTCCACGTTGTTCGACTGCGCATCACCGTTCACCTGGCCATTAGTGGGAGGGGGAGCGATGCTGGAAAGAATGAGTGATTGGGTGGCTGATGTCGGGTCATTAGGCTGTCCGTCGTAGATATCCACCGAGCGGGCGATCAGCTTTCTGCGTCCCTTGAGCTTCTGTGAGTGATCGAAAATGGTCGGCTGGAAGTAGCCCATCGGCGCCAGATGAACCTCATCGTAAGCCTTGAAAGAGTACTTCCGGGTATCATGACCAGCAACGCGGAGATGGAAATCAAAAACTTGCACCGATACACTCGCTTCGTTCATGGTGCAAACGTTCCTTTTCAGCTCTTCTGCCAACAGGTAGTCGTATCGGCGCCAGAGGTTGATATCGGAGTAGGGGAAGTTGTCGTAAAGCATCATTTTTATGAACACTTCAGTGATATCCAACCCGCCATACTTCAGATTCACGCGAGAGTTCTCAACGCACATGCCTTCTTCGACGCAGCATATGGATGTCTTTTGGGCGCCAATGTCGACGACGCAAGCCGAGGTGAATCCGGCGCCGAACGTAGCAGCTAGACTTTCTTGGATGAAGCAGACTCGGGCAAAGGCGAACTCTCTCATGAGCAACTCGAGTACTTGGGTGACATAAGACTTTTCGTAAATATCAGGGATAACGAAGACGCAGGAGTACTGAGGCCAATCCTTCTTGCTGGTAAGTCCCAGTTGGGTCTTGAAAGCATCCTCCAAGATGAGGGAGATGTCAAGGAAGAGAAGCCGCTTATTATCATAATCTCGCTCATTGCACCAGCCATGCCTTATTGGCCAGTAAAGCTTGTAGCGAGGCTTCGAATCATCAGGTATCCTCAGGGCCGCTTGTCCCACGATGTATTCGGGTGCCGGGTCAGCGATCTCAGTCCATTCCACGCGCATGGGGTCGTTGTGTTCTGAGATAGTCTCTGGCACGGTCCTCCGGTTGAAGTTGACGACCATTTCCTTGGAGTTTGGCAGTGTTCGACGCTTGTTCTGTCGCATGTGGGTTTTGAGCTCCGCTGACATCGTCGTATACTGGGAAGCAAACTGTGACGGGTTAGAAGCCAAGACAATGAGCTAGAGTAGGCGAGAAACAGACCTCAGGGCCAAACATCTTCTCCGGGTCCATGGTTGAGCCATCGTCCAGTTTCAGCCGCTTGGGACAAGGTTCCTCTTGGTCTTCGGACTCGCTGGTAGCAGCCTTTCGCGCAATCACCATAGGCACAGTCTTGGGCAAAGCATCACTGGCCAGTCCAATTCGCAGGTTTTGACTACCCACGTGGATAACAATAACTTTTGAGCCTACTGTTTCCGTAGTAGTGTCCTCCGCATCTTCCATGTTGGTATCGCCATCTTCCGCATCTGCTTCTGGCAGTCCTAGGTCGTTGGCCTTTGCCATGGCTAGGGCACGATCGCGGTCCTTGGCCGTTTTTGCCATCCGATTTCGATTCTCCTCATTCTGTAGTCTGAACGCCAGATACTGGTCATCGCGCTTCAAATAGTCTCTATGAAGGGAATATTGTCAGCGTTGAAGGTGGGCTGATAGAGGGCGCAAGCAAAGTAGTAACACAACTGCGTATCGAAGATGGAGATATAGCGACGTACGTGTAGTAGTTCTTCTGATTGATAGGAGGAACCTGCGGCCAGCTCGAGAGTTCCATATTGTTATCGGTCCGCTCCAGGCCTGAGCAGGTGTGTTAGCAGAGAAGGCATAATCGCTTATTGGACCGCTGAACACGTACCTTCATCCCGAAGGAGAGCCTTTCCCGACTTCTTGCCGACCATGATGTGTTGCTAGACCGGCAGCCGGTAATCTCTGAGTAGGGTGTGAGTGAGAAAGTTGACCGGGTCAAATCGCGAGCGGATCGCGAAGGATGTCGGAAGGAGTAGATTCGGATTCAGATCAGGTGCATCCCAACGGTGAGGTGGCGCGTGGGGAAGAGGTGAAGAGGGATGATGGAGCGAAAGGTATCGTGGCTGGGGAGGGAGGGAAGGAAAGGTAGGAATCCGACGACAATTGAATGATGGGAAACCAACACCGGAGAGCGAGCGGTAGTGAACCGCATCCCCATCCAAGCCATCCTTAGTTGATTTGAGCTTGGGCCAGGCCGATCGGCAGGAGACCGCGGGCCAATGATGGCCACCAACCATCCCTCCATGCCATTTAGTCAGCTCTTGATCGTGGCCTTGTCTCGTGTCAAGCTGTGTTTTATTCAGTTCCGTTAAATCGACTCTTCGTTGACCTGCTACACCTCCTCGCATCCCCTTAGCTGGTGCCCTCAGTTTGGAGCGAGTCCTTTTCGTGTTCGCCGCATCCTCTCCGCCACCGCTCGACGCCCGACCCTCCCTCCGCAATATCTCTCGCTAGTCCGTCATTCTCTTGTCCAACTCCGCGGCCCCCCCTCTGTCCCAGTGTTACTCTGCTCCTGTCGCTGTTAAGAGTTGTCAACATGGGAGGCTCCTTGTCTCGTATGTGGTCCTTCCTCTGGACGAAGAAGGAGATTCGCATCCTCATCCTCGGTCTGGTAGGTATATCCATGTTTTGGCACTAGGCATCCAGCTACTAGCGAGTTTCATACTAACCCGCGCTCCCATCTCTAGGATAACGCCGGAAAAACAACCCTTCTATACAGACTCAAGGTGCGTATAGTCTTGCGGAGCTGCTCGACTGTCAGCTAGAGGCCGTTATTGATGTGCCAGGAATAGATTGGTGAAGTCGTTACTACGATACCAACCATTGGTTTTAACGTCGAATCGGTGACGTATCGCAACCTGAATTTCAATGTCTGGGTGAGTAAACGCTGCAACCTCATAAAGGACGCCCTTTGGCAAGGAGAGAGTAACTGAGTTTACTGACGTACCGCTGTCGTGCAGGATCTCGGAGGTCAAACGTCCATTCGGCCCTACTGGCGCTGCTACTATGCGAACACCGCTGCTGTCATATTCGTCATTGATTCCACAGATATTGAACGTCTCAGTACGGCTGCCGACGAACTAGCGGCCATGCTGAATGAGGAGGAGCTTAGTGATGCGGCGCTGTTGGTATTTGCCAATAAGCAGGACCAGCCTGGCGCCAAAGGTGCCGGCGAGATATCAGAGGCTCTCAAGCTGGGAGAGCTACGGGATAGAAATTGGAGCATTGTCGCATGCTCTGCTATCGACGGCAAAGGTCTTAACGAAGGCATGGATTGGCTGGTGGTATGTGCAACCTCAAGGCTCCTTTGCTTCGCTTTGGATAAATGCTGACCAGTTACCCACAGCAAACTCTACAGTCTGAAAATGCATGAGCGACGGTGTTATTGTACCATCTTATAGATTTCTTCGGATATATGTTCTCGCTTCCAGGTGGTAGGGATCGGCTGCTTCCTGAACGCTTTCTCGTTCTTCCTTGGTGTCTTCCACTTATCCCCACTTTTACATCCTCTTTTCTCTTGCAACTCTGTTCAGGGCTCATGTCGTTTATACAGTATACCTTTTTGATATCGAAACCTTCACACTTAGTATAATATCATAATTATTTGAAATGACTGGATGTATTCTACAGCAATGATTTACGCCGCTCTTATGTTATGATTAGGTTGAAGTTGCAGGATTCCTCCAACTTTGATGCAGAGATGTGAAGACTTTAGCCAGAGGATATTAAGAGATGCTCCCAGGTGTATATCGAAAGTATCATTTAAGCGGAATTTAAAAAAGAAGGAGTTTAAATATATTTTGGTCTTTTCAATCATATGGGCACTCTGATCTGTCTCCATACTTAGCTCGCAGACATGATTTTCACGACTAACCCGTTTGAACAGAAGAATGAACCATGAAGAACGCTCAGCAAAGCAGGGTTTGATCATATCGCAAAGCGATTGGCGGAGAGTAGATAGCAACACTTCAATCTCCAATCCCTAATCTACTTATCAACTCCGAGCCTATCGTTCACCAGGCGCGTATCAGTCCCGATAGTAGTTAACTAGAGGTTCGGATTAGCCTCCGGATAGATAATCTTGCACGATGAGGAAATAAACATTCATACCTGTGAGTCCTATCTGATTTGCACAAGAGGTAAGTCAGACTCCTCGGATGCGAACCAGCACCTTCAGTGTCTTGGTCTCTAACGGTCACTTGAGGTTAATCTTGTGTATCCAAAGCAGTATATTTACCCCGCAACATCCCACTACCCTTCCTCCGCATCTCCGCAACCACTTCACTTACTACTACATACGACATGGCGATTCCTCAAACCCAAACCGCAGCTGTTCTCCCACCTTCTGGGGCAAATGCCACTTCCAGATTACAGATTATACATGACCGTTCGATCCCTGTACCCACTGAGGGAGAGGTCCTAGTCAAGCTCGAGTACTCCGGAGTATGCCATTCGGATGTCCACAGCGTGCGCGGGGAAACTCCCATGTTGACGGATGTAGCTGGTCATGAAGGAGTGGGAAAGGTGGTGAAAGGTAAATGTCTCATGCCATTGCCTTGATAGCATTTGTTCATACCTGACCTGTTATGCGTATAGTGGGCAGTGGTCTCGACGAGCAAACGTGGATGGGACGAAGAGTTGGGATACGGTTCGTACGGCTGTTGATATACAGAAACAGAAATTGATTGAGTGGTTTTGCAGATGGCTGTATAGCTCCTGTTTGGAGTGTGAGATTTGCGCTATCAATAATACGGCGTGTCCGTATCAGAAGAATGCTGGAGCGGTAGGAAGATACTGTTAGGCCTTGTTAGTGTGGTTATGCTAATTAGGTGCAGAATGTCCCAGGGACATTTCAACGTGAGTGTCGTTAATCTTTCGGCTCTGGACCTGCTTACTGACCAGTGTTTGGATTTCAGAATACGTCGTCAGTCCTGCGATTCATGCAACTGTAATCCCTCCTGAGCTAGCACCGGACGTAGCTGCACCACTCTTGTGCGGTATGTACAACTGGTCGCCTGGTATCTCGAAATATCTAAGCTAATCTCACCGCAGCGGGCATCGCCATGTACTCCTCGATCATGAAGACCAAAACTCGACCCGGAGATTGGATTGTGCTTCCTGGAGCAGGTGGAGGCCTAGGACATATGTATGTGCATCTGCAGCTGTTTATTTCTGGGAGATAAAGCTGACAGCATACAAGGGGTGTTCAAATTGCTGCTAAGAAAGGACTCAAAGTCATTGCAATTGACAGGTATGGCGCTACTATTATTGAATTATCTTGTAGCTTACCCATCATAGCGGCGAGAAGAAAAGGCAGCTGTGCCTCTCCTTAGGAGCCCACGCCTTCCTAGACTACAAAACAGACGACGTAGAGCGTGAAGTGAAGGCTCTGACCTCAGGGCTAGGTGCGCATGCTGTCATCTGCACAGCCAATAATGAGCCAGCATACACACAGAGTATGAAAATGCTTCGCAGCTTGGGTGTTTTGGTATGCGTGGGTATACCAAGTGTGCCGTTTAGGTTACCGGCGACGCCGTTTGAGATGATTGTGAAAGGTGATTCAACTTCGTCACTGCCTTAAATTGAACCCAACCGATAGACATTAAATGCTGACATGAAGCAGGACTAACAATTGTTGGCAACTCTGCCGGAACCGCCAAGGAGATGGAAGAGTTGATGGACATGGCTGTAAGAGGCGATGTGACAGCACATATCGAGTGCTTTGAATTCGACTGCATCGATGATGTCCTGCAGCGACTGGGGCGATCTGAGATCGAGGGACGGGCTGTTGTGCGCATTCCCGAGTAAACCCGAGTCTTTGCTCATTATCATCACAGGCAGATAATATGGTTTGCCTTGATGATAAGCCACGTTCAGTAAGACGTACAGTACAGTACATAGATATATATATATATAACATTGAAAGTGACTGAAGTCGTCAGGATATTAGCGTAATCCAGAGTGCTCCTAATGAAGAGGTAATGTACCTGAACCGTTATATACACCTGCTAATTAAGACAGCCTGACAAGGAGTCTTCGGTATGGTCAAGTCCTAGTGACAATTATTACCCGCAGCATGAGAATACGATTATGGATATGGTTCCGAGTCCTCAAAAGATTTCACAGCTTGCGATAAAAAATGCGGGTACTGTGGTCATTGCGACTATTGAGCATGGAATAATTACAGTTTATTTTCATCTGATGCAAAACATTGCCTTGAGATTGTGAGGGCGTTGAAGCAAGTATGGAAACTATTTGGGCGTACTAAAAAGGATCAGCTGGGACGGATTTGCAACCCTCGAAATTGGCAGATGCTTAACAATTGGACAGTTTGGTTGCAGAGAAACGTTTAATCATGGAGAATGCTACAGCCCAAAGGGCAACTATCGCTAATCTACTAATGCATTTGTCCTGGTATGTGCCTTGTCTCCTCAATTGAAGCCCATACATAGTTACTTTTAGTATATATCATCCCATCTGTCAATATCATAGCGGATTTTTTGGGTTAATAATTTGGTCAATAGGCTGGCTTGAAGTTGCTTCTTTAAGTAATCAGCATCCTAGCTTCAGCTATCAAAGCGCATTTACCGTGTGCGCCACGAGGTGTTTAGGTTGGGAAGAGTGGGTGATTGGTGTTCGTCTATATCTTACGCAGCATCAAGTCGGCCCGTGGCGAATACGAACTATATTGAACACATACTGCCTCTAAATGTTTGGAGTCCAGTATTGATCACCTAATAGAGTTTCTCAGAGAAAGATGGATATGTTGCTTCAGTGGGTGCTAGTGCATTGCAGCAGTTTCTGCCTGGTGATCGGTGCAGAAGATACTCTTTAGTAATACTCTTAATACCCTATAACATTAAATGACTTTTCAAGTTTTCTATGCCCATTTTATCAGACAGGAACCAGACTGATCTGATCAGGATACTTGCCGTATCAGGCAGGTGTGCATTTAGCGACGATAGCTGTGGCTTAATGTCCTACATTACGTACTTCACCCTCTTCTTCGCTGTCAGACATACCTTCCATGAACCATTGCATGTCGATGCCTCTAGCCTCACATTCCCGTCTCAATCTTTCTGTGTCCGCATATTCTCTGTCGGCTTCTTCTTTTACGAGAACCATATTTAATCCCGCTGCTCCCCCAACCACTGTCGTTCCGTCCGGTATCGTTTCATCATCTGATGCAGTCCATATCACAGACCTGTCCCTGAGTTCCAAACTCTTCAGGTCAGGAAATAAGCTCCGATCCTGAGCAACCATCAAGAGTTCCGCCAGCAGACCACTATTATCGCGGAGAACGTCTTGGACAGAAAGAGTTTGCAGGGAGCTCGGAAGCCTGTCAACAAGCCGACCAATGCTAGGTTTCTTGATAGCAGCGTGCGAAAAGATTGATACGAGGTGGGCATGCCGAACAGTCAAATGCTCAAGGGCAGAGAACTCTTGAAAAGACTCAAACGGGATGTTATCCTCGCAAACAGGGGTTCCCCCGCTCATGTCAAGCCAAGAATTGTACTGCTTATCATATGTCACGCTGAGAAATTTGAGGGTATCTTTGAATGGAAGAAGAGCCTGATAAAGTTCTCGAGTATCAAAGCGTCTTTCAATCACCTTTGCATCTGGGTGAAGTGAGGCTTCGATTGAGAAATGTTCCAGTTCTTTGCATACTTTGAGCCAGTCGAGCATCCCGGTGCACATCCGGACATCGCCCAACGAAATCTGTTTTATGGGACCAACTGAGAGGGGTGGTTCGTGAGAGTAGAGATGACACCCATCATCACTGCTATATTCAGCCGAGAACGAAGAACCTGTGATAGACTGGACATTTGGGAAATAGAGAAACGGAGTGAGGAAAGCTTCGGTTATTCCTTCATCAAGTTGGCAGTGAGCAATGACCTCTCGAAGGAAAGGAAATGGTGGGGTTTCATGAAAGGGTTGCTCTCGCTCTGCGGCTTTATATAGAATGGAGATGAAAAGAGGTGAGTCTTCATGTTCAAATTCAATGCGTTCCAGATGCGTCAAGCCAACAAACAAGACTCCTAACCAAGCCTCCATCTTGAATTCGAGCAGGCATTCCTCCCACTCGTCTGTGAACACTTCACCTGGCGTTAGTATCTTGTTTAGTGCTCTGGGCACGAACTTCGCAAATTCATCAATATCCTCGTCACTAGCGTCATGCACTGGTATATATTTGTCTAAGTACCAGAACAGTTTTACGCTGCGAACCCAGTCTGCCACTTCGGGGTGATTCCAGAGACGAATAACGAGATGGATGTGGGCGTCGGTCAGGGGGATGCCGTATCCCAGGTCAAGATGGTAATAGAGTAATGGTTCGAATATCTTGTGGAATTTCCGACAGCACAGAGTCAAAGCAAGCAAGGTCGATCTCCGTATCTTTTCGCAATTCCCATCTATGTCCAAGGCAATGAACTTCCCTATCATTCCGAGAATCTCAGTCGGTAGGTTCTGCATAGTGTTTCGATTGTAGCTGTTATCACTGCTGCCTCTAGTATATAGACTGACCCTGGTAGAAACTGAGACATCGCGTCTGTTTTATATCCGCGTTTAGCTATACAGGTGATACTGGTGCAAAAATTGCACATACCCGATGCACAGGGACGAATCCTGGTAATAACCCTCATTGCACTGTGACTCACGATGTGACAAGCAGCAGTGCGCTAATTCCCAGGCGCATTCACTTTGAATATCGGAATGACTCCAAGCCCCAAGTCCAAAAGTATATATCTCGTCTGCTTATTCCAGCCTTGACTGGTTGTTATGGCTTGGAAAGGCAAGTCAAAGAATATTATATATTGGATAATGGACAACTAACATCCTGAACATGGCATATAGCAGCAGAAATAACATTATAACGTACAGCGACTTCCCATATCTAGGCCATGGTCTTTCCGCTTTCTACCACGATTTCCGAGATGCCGTTGAGATCAATATCACCCATCTTCAACTCCATATCATCGTACTTGTCACTAGTGGGACTCAAAGTAGGGTCAAACAGAACGGGATCATCTGCTCTTGTCGACCCCACCAGCCACTCAAGTTGCGTCTTCCAGTCTGCCTTTGCCCGAATGGAGACATTGGCCTGGAACTTCCCTTCGTCCTTTCTTTTCAGCAATATGGCTGCCCTCATGGCAGCGGGAACTCCCGTCTTCGTCGCGGGATTCTCAATCAACGTCCACGAGGCACAATTGGCCTTCCCGTAATTCCGGCCTCGCAGATCAATCGACCCAACGACTGTCGCAGCATAGCTCAACTCGCGGCTAATGTCATGCCCATACTTCACCGTACTGCTTGCATCGACAAAGTTGCTGACGACAGTTCCCGCACCAAAGGTCAGTGAGCCCTCAGTGGAGGTTGTTTCAGTCTGAGTAGTGCGGGAAACACTGAGGTGCTCATTGGGAGCAATTGCGTAGACTTCTGGGTCTGCTGCACCGGGCTCAGAACCAGAGAATTGAAGCTCGACATCGACTTGGGAAATGCGACGGGCACGCTTGCGTGGGTCGAACCGGAACTGCAGAACGATGAGGGTTGCATAAGAACTACCGTCCGGGCTGAGTAGCCCATGGACAACGTCGACGCAGGAGCAACGAATGTCAACTGCGGTCTTGCGCTCGATGTAGTTTTCGCGCTGATAGGGGGCGGAGGGGTCGTTCTGGGTATGGAAGGCACTGCCAGCATCGCCGGTTGGGCTGAGGCCGATGTCGAAGGTCTCGGGGTGCGAAACCACGGTTGTAGTGACGTCTGGCTTCATTGTGGAGGTAGGGTTATGTTCTGCCTGCAGAAATATGGAAGTGTAGATGATAGTTGAGAAGACGGAGGTTTGAAGCTGTGTGAGTGCTAATGGATAACCCTCGAATCGGCCGGATGGTAGCTGACTTTAATAGCCTGATTCTGAGGACGATTTGCTTTCCCTTTCATGTTGTAGCGCCGTACGTACTGTTCGAAATCTGCATCCTCGAGAGGATATTGGCGCTGTGCCGCGTCAGCTCAACCACCCGTCAAGGCCAATGAAGCTGAAGACAAGGATGAATTCTGTACAGCACTCCAGCACGGCGCTTCAGCCCTGAGTCCAGCTCACGATGGTCCAGACTTAGAAGGAATATTTCGTTGGCTCATATCCATGCTCAGTTGCCGCCATAGGGCAGTGCATAGTCTGAACGAATCAACCGACGTGCGCATCGACTGATGCATACGCGCCGAGGCTAGCCATCGCCTGACATATTACCAGCTGAATTGACAGACCCTTCCAGAGCTTCTGCATTTTGCGACTAGCGACACCTGTCTACTGGCTCGTATCGTTTGCCAATATGCATCGTTGCTATACATAGTTGGAACTACCAAGAAAGGACACACTACTTAGTGGGCCGGATATTTTTACCGGCTGCTTCACTAGCCCAATAGCATTCTTGAAAATCATATCGAGCGCTTGTCTCAGCGGATCCGTATGACAAAAGTGGGAACCGGCGCTTGCGGTGGCCCACTATGAATGGAGCGGATCATCTGTAGGCGCTAACGGTGAGTATCCCAGAGCCTACCAGTACATGTTGTCGATCTCCAAGGTAGCAAGGTTAACAAGATAGTGGTTCTAAAATCTGTTTTCGCGGCGGCAACTGACACTCAGGTTCATCCAGGCCGGGAGAAAGCCCTACATTTCAGAAACTTAGGTATAGGTATGCAGTGCCTCTGCGCTAAGAGAAAATATTGATAGGATTCCAGCAAGTCGGCGCCGAGGATTATGAGCACTATGTGCTCTTAATGTTGATTCTTGCGATGACAATTTGATTCTTTGAAACATCATGCGCTGATAGGAGGCCAATAACAACAACAGCGATTATTAACCGCTCTCAGTGTTAGAAGTTTCAGTCTTAGTCTAGTGTCATTGAGCAGTACTATTAGCGCAGACTTCCAGGATACATTTCTTGACCAAACACTCAACGAATGGATCAGCTCTGAAAAAGACCACGTCTCCTACGTATGTTAGAGGTGCTTTATTGTTCGTTCACAAGGAACAGTACAGTGTCTTGGATAATGTTGTTCCCTCTTTTAGCTTCGATAGACCAATACGTATTCAGAAAGTACACTGTGAACAATACCTGGGCACCAAGTCCAGGACTAACTTACATCAAGACCATATCATTACATAAGTCGTTTACTTAGCCTTAGTCTTCGCACTCTCTCATCACATCTTGGTCTCTACCCATACCATTATGGCGATAATGCAGCGAATCTTCATACTTCCTCTGCTTTCGCACTGATATTATCAACTGCGAATCATTCTCTACTGATTGTTGATGAACCTCCACTCATGCAGCAAATAGCAGACTTGGACGGTGAATTTTCCTTTACCCAGGTATATATGGACGGTCAACGATCTTTATTGAAGTGAAGCAAGGTCTTATGGACTGTTTCCACCTCAGGCAATTGGGTGAAGAGAGTGAGATGGAAAGACACTGAGACAATATATCTGGATGTGATGAGGTCTCTTGAGATACGCGGACGATATGACACTAACAAGCTTTATCTTCTGATGGCTGGTTGTATACATTGTTCTCGAGGATGGGCTTCTTTCCTACAATCGATGATGCAATCGATGAAAGAACGACGAGTCCAAGGTTGAACACATATCCCTTCATGAATCTCACTCTGCTACGACTCAAGTATATCCTGGAGGACATAAAGTCCGAACATCCTCCGCGCGAGCGACGAACTGGGTCAACTAATCCGATACTACAGCAGTTTGTCTACATGTCTAAGCTGAAAGACATAAAGCACTCGGCTATCGCGGTTGCAAGGAGGGGTAACATGTACGCAGACTTCAGGTGGCGGCGAGGGGGCATGCGTACGTGCATGAAAAGGGTGAGTACGCAGCAGTGCGGAGAGTCGGAGACCAGCCTGTAAATCCTTTGTCAGGCCGGGTATTTTTGGAAAATTATACTTTCATGTTATACAGGAGTTCACTAGCTGACCGTGGGTGTACGAAGTATATCAGACATGTGCCTCTCCCAGAATCCGGGATCGCCCTAGTAGTACCTGACCAGCGACGAAAAGGATGGATGGAGGAATAAAGGGAGGGAGGAATTGACGGCAGTGCATCTGCATTGAGGATCTGCCCGCTACAACCTCTGATTATCACAGCTATTATTGGCAAGACGATGGATGAGTATTGACCGTTGATCGGGGCCTGTACCAATAAGTTGGAAGATCAGGGTGCCTGGGGCTGGCGTGCGGGATTCATTGGCGGCGAGTGGCTCGGGGAGCCCACGGCGTGCGGGCACATGCACCCTTGATTGGTCTACCCGAACTATACGCAGATGCATCCATACAACTGAAGCTCTGCAACTCTCCTCTTCATCCTCCGCTAACGATTGTCTCCTACTGCAATTCGGTGCCAGCTGGTCCCCAAGGACCACCCGGAGATCCTTCCTCCACCTCTTCCCGCGAGCCATTCACTCTTTTACCACGGACAGCCAATGCAGCTTATCATCCCCGGACCATGTGTCCCCCTGATAGGGCATCGCGCTGCGCTCATGTCTTTTTTAAATTCAACTCGGACCAGGAGGGGCTGTTGCAAGTGGGGCGTGCATCCCAAAGATGTGGCCAACCTCTCCCGTATTGCTCTGTTGCTGCTGCAGAGCAATTGATTCAAGAAGCCGCCCGTCCTCGCAATTCTTGAGGCAGGAGATCTGCCTCTCATCTGTCCTTCCTACGACAGGAGGCTTCAACTCTATCCCGTTACACCTCTTTGCGCCCTTATGTCTTCCAGCAGTATAACCGGTCCCTTTTGGGGCCAATTGAACTGGCTACATGTTTACATTGCCGGAACTGCGTTCGCGGTCTGCGCGTTCGTCGCAGTCGTCATGATGTTGTCGTCGCAGAAGCGCAAAATTGACTACAACAGCGGTGTTTTCACCTACCTCAAGTTCGCATACGCCACATTCCTCAAACCCCACGAGAAGCACGGAAATGGCCAACAGGATGCTCTCGAGAGCTTCTACAAGACGCAGGTATGCCACATGACCGCCAATTGACTGCCTAGTTCCATGTTCTGACAGAAACGTACATAGGCTGGCGTCTACGATGCCACTCGCAAGCGTTTGTTGCGCGGTCGAGAGGATATGCTGGGTCTAGTTGCAGCCCAATTGAAGCACAAGGTCGAGAACAAGCAGCTTCAGTCTGGCAAGGCTGTCTGGGTTGATGTAAGTATCACCTATGCAGTCTTACCGAGTGATGAGTATTGACTAACAATGTAGATTGGCGGAGGCACTGGGTGAGCACTTTCGAGGACACAAAATCCAACCGACCCCTAACCACTATTAGATACAACATTGAAGCCATGTCTGCTTTCCTACCCGTCAAGGATTTCTTCTCCCGCGTTTATCTGGTAGATCTATCACCCTCCCTCTGTGAGGTGGCCCGCCAGCGCTTCGAAAGGCTGGGATGGAAGAACGTCCACGTTGTCTGCCAGGATGCTCGCTCCTTCCGTTTACCGGAGGATGACAAGGTCGACCCCCGTAACGAGAGCAGCGCCGGTGCCGACTTGGCAACAATGAGCTATAGCCTGTCTATGATTCCAGGTTGGTGCACTTAGTGACATATCAGAGAGTGGTGCTTATTTGATGCAGACTACTACAGTGTCATCGACGCGCTACCTGCACTCTTGAAGCCTACTGGCGTTCTCGGAGTTTGTGACTTCTATGGTAAGTCTGGTAACATCTGTCGACGCAATTTTCCTAACCCCCGATAGTCCAAAGCATTGTTGATGTCTCGTCGCGTAATTACACTGGCGGTGCCTTCAACCGACATGTGAACTGGCTCGGTCGTGTCTTCTGGCGTGCCTGGTTTGACGTGGACCGAGTCAGTTTGGAGGCAGCCCGCCGTGACTACCTGGAGTACCGATTCGGAACCGTCATCTCTGCCAGCGAGAGAAACTACCTACTGGGCGGTATCCCATACTATATTTTTGTCGGTTGCCAGAAAGATTCGACCACACACTCAGGTCGCGAGGCCATCGAGAAGTTGAATGCTTCGTTCACAGAGTCGCCGTACCTCTCTCCCGCCAACCATCGCAAGGAGATGGAGACTGCTGTTGTGAACAGCACTCAGGAAATTAGATCCAAGGCTTATGAGTCGGCTGTGATCAATCTGAGCGCGAACCTGCCTCTCCCTTCGTCCTTTTACCAGAATCACCACCACCGTATCTTCTACAATGACCTCCTCCCAAAGCACACTCAGTTTGGAAACGAGTACATCTATGCTTTCAACTGGGAAGACCCCCGTGTTGACCACCGCCTGCTGGACATCAAGCGAGACGATGTCATTCTGGCCATCACCAGCGCCGGTGACAACATCCTCGACTACCTTCAGAAGAGCCCGCGTCGTGTCCATGCGGTTGACTTGAACCCAAATCAGAACCACCTTCTGGAACTCAAGGTGGCTAGCTTCATGGCTCTGGGCCACCGCGATGTGTGGAAGATCTTCGGTGAAGGAAAGCATCCCGATTTCCGCAACCTACTCATCTCCCGACTGAGCCCACACCTGTCTAGTCAAGCCTTCCAGTACTGGCTGGAGCATACCCATATCTTCACCTCCTCCTCCGGTAAGGGACTCTACGAGACGGGCGGATCGCGCCACGCTATCAAGATGGTCCGCTACCTCTTCAAGGTCTTTGGTCTGGAGAGTCAGGTGCGACAACTCTGTGAAGCCCAGACCTTGGCAGAACAGCGCAAGATCTGGCCCCGAATCCGCTCTGTC